AAAAAAAAAAAAAAAAAAAAAAAAAAAAAAAAAAAAAAACAGGTACACATAAACATACATATAAACACTACATTAATAAATAAACAAAAATATAAATAAATATATAAATAAACCTACATCATCATCGGTGACCTGTGCTTTAATGTTCTTCTCAGTATTAAACTTCTTCTTTTTCTTGGCCTCTTTCTTGCTCCTCTCTGCTTTGATGGCCAGTGGGTCTACCCCAGTCAGCCTAAACATACTGTCCATGAAGTGCTGGGCATTGGCATAGTACAGGACGGACTCATAGTGGAAGATCTTCACCCCAGATGGAAGCTCTTCAACCTAGAATAACAGGGCATATAGTGACTATGGGTGCTTTCCCAGAGATTTAGATCGATCTAAAGATTAAGATTTAGATCGATATAACTCCCTGGGGGTTCACGCTAAATTGCAGTCAGCCGAGCAGGCATCATAGTTAATTACCCCCTTACAGCTTTTAGTAGGCGGGACAGGCGCTTAGGCCAGCCAAGCTGACAGTAATCTATTGAGACTCCCCACAGGGACAGATTGATCTAAAAATCTATGGAAATGGGGTGTATGATGGAAATTCATCTGTGTTGTTTCAAAACCTTGGAACTAGTTAGTCCGCACAGTTACATTGGGAATGGAGCCTTAGACAATCTATTATAATGTCACAGTGGTACTGAAATACAGCGAATAATGAGGACAGATTATAAAAAGCACTTTCAAAAAGAAATAATGGAACCACATGGCACCGTTTTTGTACTAGTATGGCGGCTACATGTGGGCACCAGATATCACATGGCTTGTTTAGGTAACCTGGACCTTCAGCACAACCCTTGTTTATTTAAACACAGTTTATTTAAATTACAGTTGAACAAATCACACATAAATAGCACAAAATCTAAGTTTATAAATGACATAAAATGCAGAGAAAACTAAATTTGTGCAAGATCCATATAACAACAGAAAACTACGCAAGAGTAACCAACCCACCTTTCTGTAATATTTTGGATCTCTGTAGAAATCGGTGCATGCAATATGTCCATATACACTAGCCTTTGGCCTGAAAAGAAAAAAAATTATACAGATTAAAATACCCAACAGACAGGCAGACAGACAGACAGGCAAAGCAACACACAAGCTTAAACATGCGCACATTTAAGCAAGCATAACTTTAACTTAAATTTCATTATTTCTGTCCCATGTCATATATAAATACTAGTAACTAATAAACAGTATTAAATTAAGTAGAGGATAAACTGATAACTAACTTGGAACATGTAAATCATTTTCCGCTATCAATAATTGATTCTGATGCCAGATGTAATTATGTTATTAGCACATTTTTAAATAAAAGTGTTATACAATCAACTTGTATATTTTTGCCTTAATACTGAAACCTTACACAACATCCCTTGGCCTTTTTATAAAGCATCCTTACATAAGGAAAAAAATGTAACTGATTTACACAGTTTGTGTGACTAATTTTTAGGCTAAACTTTTCTTAATTTCTACCTTTCTTCTTCTTTTTTATAAAACAAGAAAATACAAATGCTCTTTACTAAGTTACTCTATGAATTACAAATGAAACAGACTAAAAAGTATGTTTTCCCACATTTTATTAATTCAAATATGGAAAAGGTGCAAAATATGACCAATATCTGTTTTTCTTCTCTTATCAAGTAAAAAGAAGAAAAAAAAAACTGATTCCAAACATGTAGAAAAAAGATTTATCAAAAAAATTTTTTCATAAGCTTAGTCAATCCATTCCAATGAAACAAATACAATATAAATTACCTTTTGACAATGTTTTGCCTAATTTTTTAGTGAAATTATTACAAGTTTGGCTAATTAATTATTCAAACACATCACACAAGACAGCCTCTATATAACTTACCATTGAGTTCTTAGAATAATGGTCAGAAAAGAGAAGACAACACCCACGAGAAGTCCCAAGTCCATTCCCAGAAGAACAACGGACAGAAAAGTCACCAGCCATATTGCCTTAAAAATGCAAGTCATCAAAAAATATCTATCACAGAAAGCCCTCTTTAACAAATCATAAAGATCAAAAAGATATCTTATGGGGTCATATGAAGTTGTGGACCAATAGTTCTCGAGTAATAGGCCTCTTTGTATAATGCCGAGGTAAAGAAATTAATTGTACAATTATAAGTAATAAAAGTTTGCATGCATCGGCCATACATAAGAAATAAGTTTATAAGCGATCGGATTTGATATCCCGGGGAGGAGGGAGTAAGACAGAAAGACTAAGGAGTAAAAAAAGATTGTTTAATATACTTACAGCATCAAATTTTGATACCCTGCACAGTCGCTTCAGCTCAAGTACCTGCAGAAACATACCCTTCAGTGCCACTATGATTATACTGGACAAGACACACTGGAAGAAATCATTAGATTTTTAAAATGTCTGGATAAACAGGTTGTTCAGTTCACTCAATGTTTTGAAGCAAAAAACTCCATTCAAACAGATTTTGATCATGCATTCACACTTGTACCCTTATAACAGGTGAACCTTCTCCCTTTCTGCCATATCCAAATGTGTTTTTCCATCAGTGAGTTGATTTAGTTCAATCAGAAGAATATCTCTAAGCCATTATGAAAAGTGCCTTGGTCGACACTTTACATCAATAAACATACCTTTTTATCCATTAATTTGGTAGAAGATGAAAGATTACAATTAAATTATCTAGTGGTGGACTGATTGACCTAAAAACCAGACAGCTTCATGTGCCTCTGTAGAAATAATATGTAACCAAATACAACACAAAGATACTATAGGACTTTGTAATTTATGAGAAGTGGTAAGTTTTTTTTTTCAAAAAGAACATCTGGCATTTTAAGGCAAAATCCAAAGCTTTGCCATCAACTATGGAGTGTGCTGGTCGAACAATATAATGCATTCAAAGGAAAGAAATATAAACTCACTCTGGGTGTTGTCTTGAATAGTGGCGCCATCACCAGAATCACAATGAGTACAAATGTACTGGAGATTAAACCTGCAACCTGAGAAGAAAAAAATTGAATCAATCCATTTTTCTGCCCCTCCCTCTCTCTACTCTAAATGATATACTCTACACTACAAACCTATCATAAACAAAATACCCCCCCAAAATAAAAATAATAACATATCCCCTGCCACAATCTGTATACAGATGCAAAGGTGATTCACATGTGTGAAACTTCCACCATATTGATTATAAATGACAAGTCTACAAGCAAATAAATACAACTATAACAGTTAACAGTAAAGTACGAACTGGAACATAATCATTGGTTTAACAAATTCTTCCTGTCAGTTTTAGCAGAACACTGTCCTTTAAGTGAAAATGCTTAACCAATTTCATGAAAATGCTGAACTATTTATAGGTATAAATGTAAAATTATATATATGATCCTTATCTTTATCGTCATGTTTAAGAAAATGCTGTAGCTGTGTTGTAAGGTACAGTAGTACCTGTACATAAAACGACTATGGTAGTGTTATACAATATTTGAAGACTCACTATATTTTTTTTCAAAAGAGAGACCAATCGTTGGCAAAAATCCAAACCCCGGTGAAGGACAGTTTCATAACTCACCATACTCTTACATAAAACAGACATATATGAAATTCCAGTCTGATTATTTCATTCAGTTACTTCCTTAGGCAAGGATAAACATAATCTGAATCTAATTAAGATTGTTGTATAAACCTTACTGATACCCAGTACGGCATTTGTGCAATTAACACATCCCTTTCGCACATCCGCTTTAGCCAGTAGTTACAATGACAGAAATATCAGTCTAATCAGCTAAATTAACGATAATGAAATTGTAAATTATGTCTATTAACACTGTTCATAGTCACTTTACACCTGAGGACCCAGCTAGAATGGGAGCCCCGGCTGCCCACGGGAGCCCAGGCTGCCAGAGAGACTGCCAGGGAGACTGTCCTTTTGCAGTCTGGGGCTCCAGTGTGCAGTCTCCTTGAGCAGGCAGACTGCAAAGGGGGCTGCAATAACTTAAACTTCTTTGCAGGAGACTGCAAAGGAGACTGCAATAACTTCAACATTTTGCAGGAGACTGCAAAGGGGGCTGCAATAACTTAAATATTTTGCAGGGGACTGCAAAGGAGGCTGCAATAACTTAGAAATTGTCACAGGGGTCTGCAAACTTAACTGAAATAACTGACATTTTCAATGTTGCCCAACGTATGCAATAAACAACCCAATAGTTATTTAAAAAGTGTTTCTATCCACAATTGAGAAGCACGTGCTAAACATTTGATTACTAACTTTTAAGTGAAGTTTTATTTTTTTTTATTTTTTATATTTTTTATTAATTTTTTTAGATTTATATTTTTTTAAATAATGCTGTGAAAATATCCTTTATTATTGCTATTATTTTCATTGAAATCAGACAAATAATTGAAGTCTTATGATAATATAAAATTGCATAATATATAAATTTTAAACCTCACAGTTAGCATCAATTTAAGTTGGACTTGTGATTAAAATTAACTGGTAACTTCCAAAACCAAATTCATTTCAAGCCAGGGGCATGTTTATCTTAACTGTCAGTTTGATATAAACAGTTCACCTACAGCTTAATTATTATAATTGCCCAATGAGGTCAAATAACTACACAGCACAGGCAGTACATAACCGTTAATTCAAAAATTTAAGCCAGAAGCTAGGTCAGGAATGTTCTAAGGAAGAGGCAAGAAATCTGAAAGCATTGATTTCTGGATTGAAAAAGCTGGAAGACATTTTTAGGAAATGCAAGTAGAAAGAAAAATGAAGAGAGACAGAGACAGGATAAGAAGTGAGCATGCAAGTCCTTTTGATTTTGTATTTTCCTACATGTATAGTTTACTGATGCACCAGGATCCATAGAGCTTTGGGAAGTGTTCAATTTTAGCCCAGCACTTTGAATTCTGTTTGTAGTTTTTAAAAATACTTGAAATTGCTATCAGGCTAGATAAAGGTTTGCATTTAACCATTTTGGTCCTTGTCAATTAAAATATTATTTCAAACTTTGTAGTGTTTGACATGAATATATATAGACAATAAGTCACAGATGAGGATAATACCTTTTAAAACATCGACCTTTGTACTTTTCATCATCAAGCAATGTGTTAAAAATACAAAATACAATGAAATGAGCCTTTTTTTCCTTTAGTATGTACACTTTAAAAATTGTATTAGTGTACGTATAACTTGCCCACATTAGTTAAAAAACTAAAAATTACTTGAAATATTGCTCTTATGTGTCTGTATCGATGTATGAATCCTGGCCAGTGAATTCTGTGACAGAGTTTTGGGAATGATTAAATAACGTACAGTAGAATTCCCAGCCCTCTGCTAATAGGGGCTTTGTAGAAAAATATATATGTAAAATAGTAAACTGAACTAAATAGTGTGGAGAGAAATAAACCAATATGTTAGATATAAATGGATCAGATAACATACATTTTGTGATCAAGGAGAAATTTTGTATTTAGATTTGAACTTACAGACATACTTGGGAGAAAGATTATTTCTAGATTCCTTTTCACAAATATAATAATTGTTTGAATATATACATGTATGACTTAAAAAAAATAAATAAATAAATAAAAAGATTTTGCCAAATTTTATTTTGCTAAGCAAACTGCTAAGGAGACTGCAGAGTAGACCGTGAGAGGGGCTGCCAAGCAGACTGCTAGGGGGACTGCCAAAGCAGACTGCTAGGGGGACTGCCAAAGCAGACTGCCAGGGGGACTGCCCTGGCAGTCCCCCTGGCAGCGCGTTCCAAAAATGCAAATTAAGACTGCCAGAGAGACTGCCAAGCAGACTGCTAGGGGGACTGCCAAGCAGACTGCTAGGGAGACTTCTAAAGCAGACTGCCAAGGGGGCTGCCCTGGCAGTCCCCCTGGCAGCGCGTTCCAAATATGCAAATTAAGACTGCCAGGGGGACTGCCAAGCAGACTGCTAAGGGGGCTGCCAAGCAGACTGCCAGGGGGACTGCCCTGGCAGTCCCCCCGGCAGCGCGTTCCAAAAATGCAAATTAAGACTGCAAAGGGGACTCCCTCCATACTTAACGATACCTGCAAAGGAGACTGCTGTGGGAGCGGGGACTGCTAGGGAGACTGCAAAGCAGGCTCCATAGGGGGACTGTAAAGGAGACTGCAAGCAGACTGCAAAGGGGACTACTTTTCTAGCTGGGGATGCTTTCTTTAGTACATATGCACCTCATATATGGCTTCAATACAAATGTGAATATATTTCTAGGTACAAAAAAATACAATTTCCTTTTTTAAGTAATTGTTACCATACTTAAAATATAAGTGTCCTTTTTTACTATAGCCAAGTACCTTTATTCAACACCCCCTTACTGAAGCCACTGATAGACATACATGTACCATGAGAAGTAGATGGAGTAAGGGCGTATTCACAATCAAAGTTGATCCCCAGACTAACAGATCCACAGATCAAATATGTCCGACCCACTTGAAATCTTACCACGTACTTCCCATGGAGATTCTATTAAAATGTCCATTAGGGGATTATGCAGCAAGCTTTCAAGTGGGTCTGCCATGTTTGATCCGTGGATCTGTTAGTCCATGGATCAACTCATTCTGAATGCGCTCTAACTGCCTTAAACAGGTGGGGGTCGATTTGGGAGGTTATACAGTGCTATCAACATTATCCTTCACTTAACTCATAAACCCTGACACCTTCTTGGCCCCTTAACTCAATGATTACAAAATAAGAGAGTGAAATGCAATTGTCAACACCCTGGTGCCAGGCTAAAAACAGCTTTAGTTAAGATGCTATTGGGTGTGGCCCTCAGTTCCCTTCCATATATGCTTGAAAACCAATTCATTGCTCTGCAGATGTATGAAGTGCATACTCTTATTTGTATGCCAGACTAGGATTGATTATAATTTACTTGTATGAGAGACACCATCTAACCCTAACTAACAGTGACTGGAATATTAATACTTAAATGCATTCAATATACAAACTGATGAAAAAAGGATCAACCTGACAGACAAACATGCACTAAAATTTCGAAGTGAAATTCTAACCATCATCACAAGAATCGGACACTGAAACATTGAGCATTTAACCAACTCAAGACTATGTAGCACTTGCCACATCTAAATTGAAAATTTAGCCTTAGGCTTTTATTATTTGAAAGTATACTATCAGTGTTTGAAAATGTCACCAGAACAAAGTAATATGTTGTCTCTATTTCAATTCTGCAAAATTAATATAATATTTTCCCCAATCCAGATGTTAAAAAAAACCTCAAAGTACTTGATGTCTGAAATGTACAGGAAGTCACATAGCTGTCCAAGTGACTGGACAATATGAAAACCTTTCTTAGGATACCTTTAATCTTACAATAAAAAAAAAATCTTGAACTTAAATGACCTTGACCTCTCTATCAACCTTTGACCTTTACCTGAGTTTTGCCCCCTGTCACTTCCTGCATCATACTCCTGGACAATGCAGCACAACAGGTAAAACCTTGGAAAAATGAGTTGAAAACATTGCAAATTCCATAGGAAATCAGCTCCTGTAACATATGATGATAAACATTCATCTATTGGTCAATTTACCTTTTCATTTTGTACAGTGGTAATCAATCATTAAGTATTATTTGAAGTTAATTCAGAATAAAAGAAAACATTTAGCTGCAACTAATTTCTAAAATTTGGATTTCTTTTGAGGAAGAATAAGTTCAAAATGCACTTAACTTGAACTATCTATCAAGATCTGTTAATTTATTATTTGGTCCTGAATCATGAAAACTGAATGAACATAATTACAAATAATAACTTTTTAAATCTAAAAAATATGGAATTATTTTTGCTCAATACCTGGTTTCCATCCACAGTGTAGTTTTGTTTCTTAGCTAGCATCTTAGCCAAGGATATAGAGATAGTGAAAGCCACTATGGCTATACTGAAGGCATCAATTATTAACTGGCCACTATTCTGTTCACCTAACTCAGGTGTCTGTGGACTGGGAATACTGCAATCAAAATGCAACATTTCTTTTAGTTAATGAAAAAAGCATCCTGGGCTATGTCTGGCAATTTTTGTTTTAATCCAGTAATTATATATTCAAGCAATAATAAAAGAAATCAAATAGAGTCTTATTTTCTACAGAAATGATTAATCATCTGATGATTTTATAAACTATCACTAACAAGGCAGTGGACACAAATTAAATCTGACCTCTGTTAAGGAGGTTTAGTCAGTCCATTTGTCACCAGCCTAACTCAAAAATTTACAGATGGTTTTTGATGAAATTTTCAGGATATGTCAAAAATGGGCTAACTTTGAAATAATTAGACTTTGTTGATGATCAATTAATTAATTAATGGTTAATTATTTGTCTTGGCAGAGGTCTGAGCTCTTTCTGTGATTTCATAATTTATTTTTACGTTTCATCACAAGGATAGGTAAAAGTCACCTGCTGGTTAATCAAAGTTATTAAAAAATGATATAAATAAATAAATAAATATTTACCCTGTTGGGATGTTTCCAACTACTACAACTCCATATCTTTCATCAATCTTGGTAAGATATGTAATGACAGTGCTTAGTATTACCTGTCAAAATAATTTAAAATCAATTAACATTAGTCAATGAATGTGTAGAATGAGATAAAAAAACAAAAGAAAAATAATAATTATCATATCAATTCAGTATAAGGAAGAATATTAATTTCAATCTAGGAAGTGAGTTTTGTGCCAAAAAATGGAGCAAAAGATCAGAAACCATTTCATCTTTAAAAATCTTTAAAAATCTTATCAAATATCATCAGCATATTTTTGTGTGTGTGCATGCATGTTCAGTTGTGAGTAATCAGCACAGAGAAGTCAAAGTGCTGGATCGATCCAAGTGGACCCATTGGATTAATCTAAGACTGGGATCCCATCACCCTATACAGAGGCGGATTTAGGCCATCTTCTGGGTCTTCTGGAAGACGGTCAGATTTTCAAGTTTACATTGACGGGTATCTAATTTTTACTGTCGGAAGACGGTCAAAAATGGAGGATATATCAACAAAGATAATTTGGAAGACTGTCAAAATATATATCTGGATCCGCCCCTGCTATACTACTAGCAGGATTGATCTATCGCTGAGGGGATGCTCACTAAATTGCGTTCAGTTTAAGCAGCTTAAATCTCTGTCTTACCTACTAAAGTTGCTAGGGGGTAATTAACTGTGCACACTTAAACTGATCCTGCTAGTACCCCAGGGTAATGGGAATGGTACCTCAGTGGAACAGCAGTTGTACTCACCACAATCAGCTCTATAGGCACAGGAACCTTGAGTTTCTTCCTATACCTGGCGTTGATGCATTCCTTCACCAGGATCAGAGTGATCATACACAAGATAGACATTATTATGCTCACTATGTTAGCATCTGGCATACCCTTCAATATCTCTATCATAAACTGAAAGTTAAAGATAATATTATGCTATGAAGCTCAATGGTATTGTGGCATTCTCATTGCATAAATAATGAAAAATAAAAGTGTGGTGACTAAAATTTACTCCCAGTCCAAGAAAAGTAAAGTATGCCTCTATCAACTTATGTGTATGCCTTTGTCAACTTCATACTCATTTAGAATTATAAGTACAATAACTGTAAAATTTCCGCTATCTAAACTATGACACCTTCCTTCACTGGAGTTCTGGTAAATCAAATGCAAACACCTAGCTAAAGCATTCTATTCTACCTTGATGAGTTTAAATGGATTTCCAATCTTGCTACTAGTGACATGAATCCCAAAGACTTCTTTGATCTGTGAAGTGACCACATAGAGGGCAGCACCAAGCATGAAACCACTGATCAGAGCATCAGACAAGTAGACCACCATGAAACCAAGGCCAAATATCCCTAAAAACAGCTGGAAATAAAAATCGGTTGCATTATTTTCAACTTTTGATACCACAGTACAGAGTAGCTGAAAAATTATTTTAATACTTATAAAAAACATCGTTCAACAAAAAAAAAAAAAAAAAAAAAAAAAAATAGATAAACATCATTTTACATTTGTAATACAGCTGAGACTGAGTCTACACTAATTTGAAAAAGCAGCTGTTATTAGGAACTTGAATAATTAGTTGGAGATGTCTGCTAAAATCACCCTATTAGCAACTGAAGTCACTCAAGCTAATATTCCGTTTCAGCTAACACAAATATTTTCACAAAATCAATGTTTAACTGATGTAAAATAATATTCTTTTTCCACTTTATAATGTTTTGCATTAAAATTTTATAAGCTATCAATCTTACATAAAAAATTATTAAATTATATCAATCTTTAATAAAAAGCATAAGGTCTCTCATACAAGTACCTGCCACAGCCCTGTGAACATTGCTAGTGAAGTGGCCACACCCACTTTGAAGAGCACACAATCTGGGTCTGTATTGGTGTCTCCATCACACACCCCCATGGCACTGGTCCCCGTGATACTACCAATACTCCAGTTCCCTGTGGAATTCTCGGTATTTGAAGCTGGTGGGATGTAGTTGTTTATAGCCTCTCTGTTGACTACTTGCCCCACCATCAGAGATACCACTGCCATTGTGCCTGGAGGTGGACAAAATGTGACACTTAAAGTGACTGCTTGGGAGAGATACGTATGTTATTTTTAAAAGCTTGTTATTATCATCTTAAATAATCCTGAACTCATTTATTAGAAGCTTATAATTCCCTTTCAAATAATTAAAATTAAATGACAATTCTAGCTCAGAAATGTGTTTGGTTAAATGCTGAAGGTAACTGATATTTATATATTTTTTTCATTCTTTCTTTCTTTTTGTTGAGGGGGGTCAATAAAGGCAAACTGCTTAAGATGGCATTTAAAATCACAATTTTCTTTTTTGAATTTTTTTTTATTGATACTCGTGTGTGTGTGTGTGTGAGAGTGTGTGTGTGCACGCATGCATGTGTGTTAATTCAATAATAACGGCCCCTTAAACATGTAGGCAGAGGTCTGCATATTTTTCACATGTCTATGTGTAGTACATGTAAGGCACATCATATGTACATGTATCAAAATATCAAATTTATATAACATGTATCAAAATATCAAAATTGTATAACCAGGATTAAAATGAACTGGGATGAGTTTTCTACAATTACAACTGTAGGTTACTGTAATAATTGTGGTTACAATTCTAATTCTTATAATAAGACTTACCCAAAGAGATATGCTTTGATGATCCAAAGAAAAAGTAAATAACTGATGGGAAGAAGGACACATAGAGGCCATTTATGGAAGGAAGACCTGCTAGCAAACCATACGCCATACCTGTAAAATAAATAAATAAATAAATAAATAAATAAATAAATAAATAAATATAGTTTCCTTGTATATCATTCCCATCTCAATACAAAAAGATATCTGATAGTGTTAGCTGATCAATTACAATATCTACACGATTTCCAACTTTTAGTATACCACATCTGGGTATGGCCCCAGTTCAAGTCTGTGTGCTGTTTCTCAGTTATCATAAAAAAGGTGATAAAATGCCTGATCATGTATTTGTCAAAATGTTATCTAGAAATGTTTTGTTAGATTTGATTTTTCAGAATAAAAAAAAAAAATCAATCAATCAATAAATGAATAAAAAGGAATTAAAAAATAACAGCATACTATTGTGATACCAGTAATTATCTCTGGTAGGTTTACAAACATCATCACCAAATTAAATGCACAGTGTTACAAATCGTTCAGGAAATGAAAAACCTTTTAACCTAATTTTTAGTTACATAAAATCAAAATTACACAAGGTAATTTGTGTAGTCAATCTTGGCTCACTTACTGCTGTGGCATCATCAGGCTATCACCTATCATATGATAATTTCTGGTTATGAAACTATGAAATATAGCACACTCTGTGCCAAGTTTAAACTGTCTGTGCCAAAAAAAAAAAAAAAAAAAAAATCAACTATACTTGGCCTTTTGGAGCCCAGAGTCTAAGGGTGCATTCCCAGAGATTTAGATCGATCCAGAGATTTAGATTTAGATTTAGATCGACCTAACTCCCTGGGGGTTCACGCTAAATTGCAGTCAGCCGAGCGCGCACCATAGTTAATTACCCCCTTACAGCTATTAGTAGGCAGGACAGACGCTTAAGCCGGCTAAGCTGACAGTAATCAAGTAAGACTCCCCACAGGAATAGATCGATCTAAAATCTATGGGAATGGGGTCTAAGAATCAATTGATCTGACAGAGAAACACAAAGGTCAGCAATTAACTGGACACATTTACATACGTTTAATTGCCCATCTTCAATTTTACCAGCAAGGTAATTTGTACAGTCAATCTTGGCTCAATTAATGCCAAGGCATCATCATGCTGTCTTATGATAATTTCTGGTTATGAAACTATGAAATATAATACAGTCTGCGCCAAGTTAAAAACTGTCTGTGCGAGTAAAAAAATCCAACTACTATACTTGGCCTTTTGGAGCCCAGAGTCTAAGAATCAATTGATCTGACACAGAAACAAAGGTCAGCAATAACTGGACACATTTACACACTTTCAATTGAATAGCTTCTGCAAGTAATTTGTACAGTCAATCTGGGCTCAATTACTGCAGAGGCGTCATTAGGATATCATATGATTATTTCTGGTTATGAAACTATGAAATATAGCACAGTCTGTGCCAAAATTAGAACTGTCAGTGCCAAAATTAACTTTAAATTTCCTCTATACTTCTGGACATCATGGTTTCAGAATCAATTGACCTGACACAGAAGCAAAGATCAGTAATTACTAGTAACTGGAAAAATTTACACAATTTTAATTGCCTTGCTTTAATTTTACTAGCATTTAGCTAAAGGCCAGTGCCAACAACGTGGACTGACCCAAGTACCTTCAACAAACAAAGAGTCAGTTATCACTGAAGAATGACCACGCAAAACCAATACTCATATAGTAAACAATATTTTTGCCAATTGTGTTTAAAGCACTTATTTTCTTTTCATTGGTGCATCTTTGAATGAATGATAGTATTGTAAATTTAGAACACAATCAACAATGGTTTCATAATCACTGACATGCAATGCTGACAAGTGATTCTCTCTCAGTACAGAAAATTGACTGGCAAGCATTCGCTGAAAGGATGCTTCAACCAAATATGCATTAAAAAAAAACATTTCAGTAACAGCTTTTGGTAAACAAAGTTAAGCATGTGCTTTCTTTAATATATATAGTAACCAAATGTCCCTTCTCAGTAACAAATGAATTTGTACTCCCTATTTCAACATCCTGATAAACTCTTGTATCAAGATCAAAATTATTAAAATTTTTTTTACAATATAAAGAATTTGAAAAAAATTCATTAGGCAGGCCTATTTTCCAACATTTTCCAACTGACCCTTTCCAGCGGATCTTTGATTAGGATAAAAATGAGTAAAGAGCCAAAATTATTTTTTAAAACGGTTTAAAAATGCAAGGATTAAATTGCTCTTTTTTTTCCGGAGGGAGGGGGGGGGAGGTACTACATATGAAATACATAAGACACTTTTGACTTAATGGCCTACATATACACTGGCCTCTTGGTTCAAGCTTGTAACACCTGTTATTATTCCAATTATTTTCCCAAAAAAATTACCACTTCAAATCACTCATTAAAGGATGTAATTCCAACTAGCTATTGAAAACCAGAGCTTTTATCTTTGTCATATATTACAAATCGACATAATAACAAAGTCTTTTTGGAAAGACAATTGTATGATTTTATTTGAGATACGTTAGTAACAATTACCTGATCTCCTTATTGACCTGTTTATAAATAGTAAATGACTCACCATGTGGTAAATGCATAATAGCTACTGTCAATCCAGCAATCAAATCATTGAAAAGCCACACTGGAAACTGATAGTTTGCCATTGATATAATAAAAGGGAACAGCCTTCCCAGGCAGCTTCTACAACGATCTCTTGAGCAAAAGCCATCAGAACAATGCTTCTTTCTCAGAGACTTTAACTTCTCAACCACAAAATGTCCTCTTTCTGGTTCAGTGTAGTTAAATTCTTTGTCAAAAGCCTCTTGTGTATACAGTGGTCTCTGTATCGTAATCATGGCTTCTTTGGGTGGATCTTGCACCACACTGGAGTTTTCCTGGTCATCAGTAGTAGCGTTTTCCATGTTTGCCTCTAAGAAAAAAAAATACCAACAGATTACCATTTAATTATAATACAGAACTGCATGCACACACACACACGTGTTTGTAAATAAATAAATAAATGAACATCTTTATACCAGGTTTGGCATCACAAACAAAAAGACTCCAACGTGATGTATCTACATGGACTAGTACATGTATAGTAGCTGTTACTGAAGCACACACGTACTCAGCACGTCATGCATGACTATGAAATGCACCATGTCTGGGCCTTTAGTTCTCTTTATGTCTCATGGCACAAGACAGAAACTGCAAGGTTTATGTTACATGCACCGGTGCTTTATGGACCATTCCCAGACCCTAGTGTACTAACTGTGGATTGATCTATTTCCAAGGGAATTCTCGCTAAATTGCAATCAAGTTAAGTGGCTTAGATGTCTGTCAAGCCTACTGAAGCTGTTAGGGGGTAATTAATTATCATTAAGCAGCTTTAGTAGGTGTGCTGGACATCTAACCTGCTTAAGCTGAAAGCAATTTAGCAAGAAACCCTTTTGGAGATGGATCGATCCTGTTAAATTGATCTAGGTATGGGAACCCAGTCTTACACTTGTCTACAGTACAGCACACACTCCTTCTTGACTCAAATCTGTCTGTAAAACATATCCATTTAGCTATTTTACTGTTTAAAATAAAACAAACTTGACATAAATGCACAAACACGGAGGCATTAGAGGTGATTATTTTTTCCACAGTCTGTCAATTGCAAGATGAGGCAATGCCTTGCTTTCCCCAAAACTGTTTGTTTTTCATTGTGTTGATGCATGCTATTGTACATATTTATTTCTATGTTTAGTGAAAAATAATGAAACATATCATTTCTTGTAAATGTTTTTCTCAAACCAGTACTAGTATGTACCCAACATACATTCACAGCAATAAAATCAGTTGCAAATAGATATATTAATATGGATAATCCTGGCCCCATAAGCACACAAGTACATGTAAACATAATCTATAATAAGGCAGATATCTTAAAGGACAATGTTCATGTAAAAATCCATTTCTCGAATTTTGAAGATACAGCACTCAATCTATACACTAGAGGTATGTTTTAATCGATCCCCGCCATTTAAAAATTATAAAAACAATCTATTAGTAGAAAAAAAAGCGTTCTAGTAAACCTCACCTCAATATGCAAAAATGAAGCAACAGATCTGGGTCACGTGGTACTGTGACGACAATCACGATAAAGGTCTATGAGACTCAACTGAGCTGCATGGTGCATACAGACGGAGAAGTTAAGGAAAGTTGTGTTGAACGGAGTTGAGGAATTTTCGTTATGCCTCGGTGTGTTGCCGTGGGATTCACCAAAATTGCAGCTCTCGTTGACAATCTTTCTTTGTCTGTGACGGTCTTCCGTGACTTACTTACTAACTTCGGTGACAATAGTTGCGATGCTCTAGATCATGGTCACCTCAGGTGGTTTAGATCATATCAAGAGCTGGTAGTCTTTCAGATTAACTGTCATCAGTTGGCAAACTTACTGATTGCTGATGCATTTTAAATGCATTGTAGTTGACCAAAAGCTCGTTTACAACAAACCTGTTAATTATGCACCGCTGCAATTCCCAAGCCAGGTAATAACAGGTATGAAACTCGTCTTGGTGGGCTTTCATATTTTTCAATATATCTCATTTATTTCATGGGGTTATTTTATTGGTATTTGTAAATGACGTTAAATATCAATACTTAAACAATTAAGTTCAAACACGGTCGCGAACATTAATAAAAGAAATTGCTCTCAGGGTATCTTGAAGCTTCCGTGGAAGAAAACGTGTTGAGGAAAAACAGGAAAAAGAGCGTTATATTAAAGAAAAAATGGGAACTGCTATAATAAAATGGTTCGTTATCCTAATTCGTTTATGCTTTGAGGATTTGTTTCTGAAGATTATTTCATCTGAAATATTAAATAATTTAAAAGATTGATTATTTTATAACTTGAAACGCAAATTCTGCGTCAGTACGCAATTTTTTTTTTTTTTTGCAAATTTGTAAGCTTATAACACCGTGCTATAAAGATCTACTCAAGAAAAAAATTTGCTTGGGTAAAATTGAGTACGGAATGAACTGGAGACACTTGGCTTGTCATTAAGTTTACACGAAAATATGTCAGGTAACTTTATACTGTCTTTGAAAGAGTAAAGATTGAAAGATAATTTTAGACAAACTTTGACGGGGGAAATACCTACAAAGAGTAATGGGCTATTTCGCCAACATCTTGTTGAAAATTTTACACTGCAATTCTATTCAAATAAGCTAAGGAACTAATTGCCAAATTAATACTCTCATCACATAACAGGGGGGTAACCAGACCTGCAAAAATTGTACGCACATATTTAAAAAGATTACAAGCACATACAGCAAAATGTAGACTTACGCAAAACATGAAGGACAGCGTAATCACAGCAAATGTACCTCATATAGTAGCTTAATTTCCATTAATAATAAAATCATCATTTAAGTCAAAAATATTCTTGCGATTTAATAACTATTTTAATTTACCCAGAACGGTATATTTATTTTAAAGGCGGTTAACTGAAATATAGTTTTATGATTTGTTTGTGAAAATTGCCCATGTCACCCTGTTAGTTTGGAGGTCTAAGCTGGATCAAGTCCGTGTTAAAATTCCTATGAAGTTGTGCAGGAAAAATTCTTCCTTTCTTTCTCTAGCTCCTCGATAAACCTGGTGTTCAGATTTTATCTAGTACCCCCAGGTCTACGGGAGCTGCGCTTTGTAACTAACGCACAGGTAGATTTTTACCTGAGATAACTGGAGTAAAGCTTAGATAGAGAGTGCGTTCGATACAAGCAAGACAAATTGAATGCCATTTAACCCTCTAATTAAGAGGTAAAGGAAGTTCCAGTTAGATGGATGATTAAGATAGGACTTGTAAAGGTAACGGGCATTGTTTACCTCAGTTTAATAAAAGTATGCAAGACGGAGTGTCAGCGGTTTAATAAAATAAATTGAATTTCACAAATAACATGGACCTCATATGCAATAATCAACATTTCCCTTAACTCATTCAAATGCAGTGTTTTATACAACTTGGGATAACCATAATGAAATGCTTGTTAAAGAAATGACTAGACGGGAAATGGTTTTACACAGCTTCACGAGGATTTAGACCCCTCGGGTAAGAGATTTGAATGAGTATAAACTTTTATCAGAAGCCAGAGAAGTCATCTTACAGGTAGACAATGCAGCTCAGTTTGACAGCTAAGCACGCTCTTTTCTCCAGTGGCTCGATTGTCGTCATTGGACCACGTGACCACGTAGCTCATTAACTCCCAGGCCGAGCAAATAGGACGTTTTTTAAAGCAAAAAATTTACAAAATGAGCTTTTAATTTGTGTATTTGGATAAAGATATCGTTAGTTGGGCATGTTTTCTGAAGAATATGTTCCGTTCAGGCCATTCTGACGGCATGAAGCAAACCCTTTAAGATCTAAGGGATTATTTCCCTGGACAAGTTGTTATTCATCATGTACTATCCCTGGGACACACTGCATGTTATTTTTCTGCACCTGATCTCTTTCTGCCAGTTAGCCTGGTTGAATATCTGCAGATAAATTTACTTCACTTCATGTACAGCATACCATAATCTATCATTTTCTCATTTCCTTTTTATTTATTTTTTTTCTGAAGGTGTTAATTACCCCCTAGCTGCTAGAGGAGGCATGGCAAACATTTAAGCCGATTCCTTAGAGTGCATTCCCACAGATTTAGATAGATCCATCTAGATCGACCTAACTCCCTGGGGGTTCACGCTAAATTGCTGTCAGCCAAGCAGGCACGGTAGTTAATTACCCCCTTACAGCTTTTAGTAGGCAGGACAGACATTTCAGCTGGCTAAGCTGACAGTAATCTAGTGAGACTCCCCACAGGGATAGATCGATCTCAAATCTGTGGGAATGGGGTCTTAGATTACACTTGGAATACATCCCCTACAGAGTTGGACCGAACCAGCTTATATAAAAATGGTTTGTCTCCTTAAGTTTCATTTGCTTGCTAATTACCTGTCATGCCACAATGAAGTGATATACATACTAATGTGGGAGTTAGCAAGGATGAGGCTTCCATTAATAAGTGAAAAGTCTGAAAATTAAAATGGCATGGGATCCAGGGAGCCTTCTGCATCGATTTTAAAAATAATATTTTCAGCTCCCAAAAAGTAAAAAAATCCACCGATAGTTGGAAAAAACTCATTTGGGTTATAGTTGAAATAAATGCATGAAAAGGTGGATCTAATAATGATTGATACAACATTTTAACGTCCCAGGAAGCAACCTACTGTGCAAAATAAAGCATCTCTGTGGCAGAAGTAGCTTAGGGATCCTTCCCATAATCCTTCCGTACTAGCAGGATCAATCTATCTCCGAGGAAATTCTTGCTAAATTGCATTCAGTTTAAGCAGCTCAAATGTCTGGTCTGCTACAGGGTAATTAACTTTCATGCACACTTGGTTCCTGGATATTCTTTCACGTAGTTTTGAGTGTGATCTGTGTGCATGCTACTAATAAATGCACATGGCGATGCACTCTTTGCATTTACCTTGAGAAAATTGTCTGCGCAATTTGCAGTCTGAGTTGAAAGAACGCGCACCAGGTGACAAGACAGTTAAGAAGATGCTTGCAAGATCTGATAATTGGGCTAAGGACGAGGTGGTTGCGTGCTCTGTTGGAGAACTGGGGGGAGGAAGGGCTTTTGGAAGCCAACCGTACACGAAAGTTAATTACCCCCTAGCAATTGACTTCAGTAGGGTAACAGACACTTAAGCCCCTTAAACTGAATGCAATTTAGCAAGAATCCCATCCGAGTTAGAGCGATCCTGCTAGTGCAAAAGGGTTGGCCAACATGATTTTTTGAGTTTGCTTCTGGCCAAGAAACAATCCTTAACATACAGTGTACATGTACAGTACTTCTTGCATACAAAAGCCTGTTCACTTTAGCCATTACATAAGTTTCTTGCAATAACATGAAAAAACACAAAGTGAATAAAAACAAAATGCATTTCATATACATGTAGCAGAGACATGCCCGAGACATATTTCTCAAAGTAACTATAAAAAAGGGTGGAAAAAGAGTTATATAAGCACGACCACTATCTGTGCCTGTGTGCGTGCATGCGAGTGTTGCCCGTCGTGATTGGGGGTGGGGGTGCCCCCGTCAGGACATATGTTTTCGGCCTAACATGTAAGGTCCCTGTGGGTAAGTTACAATTGTAGGTTTACAGCATGTTAAGTCGTCATATGTCATATGATGCAACGCCGGCATGATTGGTTATATAATGGGGAAACTATTTGTTTATAAAAAGCACCATTACCAATGTAATACCAGGTCATGTGAACCGATTATGACACCAGTGCAAAGACTTTATTAAATATGCGACTAGCTTGAATAAGAAAAGCGCCATTTACCTTTTTTATGAGTGATTTCCAATTACTGAAAAACTCGAAATTTGCAGGTGTTTTGTAACGCTACCTCTATTTACTGAAGAGTGATAAGGCAGATTCTAAGACGAGCCCGTGGAATTTTATAACGCTTGAACTCTGATTGAACTATGCCCGACTGTCACCTTGCCTGTCACCTTGATCGGTTACTCTGGTTACTAATGGGCATTACTTTATATGCCTATGGGGTATAAATAGTTTCCTGATTTTGATAGTTTTTGAGTTATGGTAGACTAGTATCGTTTTCTGCGGTAGGCTAAGGTTATAAAATTAAACCAGGTTCGTTACCCAATCAAGGTGCTTGATGACAGCCGAGCGTGGCTTGAACCTATGCCCTATTAAAAAATATCGCAGAGTTCATAATTTCATTCATTAAACAGATAATATACCGCTAGTTTTCTCGTCAGGCCTGTGTACCGTTGCTCTATCCATAGGCTACCTGGCATTTGTTAATAATAATAATAATAATAATAATAATAATAATAAAGAACAGCTCTTCATTTTTGCGGTTGAAAGTGTCATAAAACAGATTTTCCTTGGGTAAACGACAATTTTCCCATACTTTCCTATGATTATAATGAATCCGTGTCCACATTCAAAGTTAGTCGATTTTTAAAGTTTTTTTAATATTCTCTCAAGAGGGTAGCCAACTATTAAGGTCCACGTGGTCACATGGCAATCACAAATTTCAGAATAATTGCGATAACTGCAGTTTTGGTTAAAATTTATTATATTTCTATGTGTTGTTTGCAATATATATATTTCTTATGAATATTTTGAATCTCAATTGAAGAGTTGTTTCCCTTATTTAATTATTTAGCGTAGTTCAAAATGTTTTCCGTAACGATAAGACCGTCATGTCCTCCTGTTTGAACTGCGTGTTTACGCTTGGGCAAATATCTGGGTTTTTTTTCATTCGGTGTACGGTATACATTTCAGGAGGCAATATCGACATCAGGTAGGCTACATGAACATGTAGGTCTCTCTGAATTGAAAAAGTTACTGAACCAAAATATAAACACGCAAAGAAAAATGTGAAGACCGCCTCAGTTTCGTTGATACTTTGTCATTTACCAAATTGTAATTTTTAATTCCTGTGAATGAAAAAAAAAATTAGAGGGGAAAAACATTAATAGCCGTATTATACGCATGCTTACTTACCTGCAAATTTACCAGCTTACTGCACTGAGTTGTACCCAGCTGAGCAAACCAGTAAGAAACATACTTCAGATTCATTGCGCACATACACTGTATGACTGGTGGGAATGGGATAAAATTAAAAGCCCTTTTTTGAAATAATAAAATCACTGCTTTCGAGAACATTATGTTCAGAAAATAGAACATCTGACGAAAATTTTAACAATGACATTTTCTAACTAAAAATCGTACAATTTTTAAAGCCATTCCATACGGGATTTTCGCACCAAATGTAGGCCTAATTTTCATACATTAAGAGGTATTTTTTTATTACTCATGAATCATTGCTAGGTCGTTCCTGCACTCGACTTGAATTCAACGTTTTGAAAACAAATATAATTAAACAAGTCGAATGACTTTTAGTTTTAAACGATCATGGTTCATTTAGAACGCCATGCCTTTGAATTCCGGACATTTCAAAGGAAATTGGGCCTACAGACATCAGGTACTTTTCTTTTACGTTTTTAGTATTTTTAATGTCTGGATTGGGAAGTAGCTTTGCAGCATATTTGGGCAAAAATGTTACTTATCTTATTCCGCTCCTCATCATACATGTGCCTTCGTGCGCTGTAGTACATGTAGGCCTATATTTATATCTTTCATTGTGCATCTCGGCATATTAAAAAAAAAGGAAAAAAAAAAACATTTCCCTCCAAAAATCACCTTTTTTTCAATACATTTCCTTACAATATAATAGTACAATGCACTGGAGTAAACGTGCAGTCCCCCTTTTTCCCCAAAGAAAAAAAAACACCGATACCTCAGTATAATGTTACATATACACTATAGCAAAAATGTAGGTAATTTTTTTAGAAAGGTTTACAGCCTGCCCGTTCAAGACCATAGCCGCGCACCTGTTTGCTTGACGAAAAACCCCTTCCTCTCCATATCTATCCCACGCACACTTTTACAAAACCAGCAGGAACTTGTTTGCTTTATCATTTATTTTTCAACCTTGATTTTAGACCAGCGCTAGAACAAGTCCGTCTGTCAGCTGCTAGAATGACAGCCGAGGGGTGCAAAAGAACAGCCGTTCACCGACCAATCACTGGCACGTATAGAAGTCACATGAGAGAATACATAAACCTCTTTCATAACATCAGTACACCAACTGTGACATAAGGCATGGTACATATAGAATCGTTCACTCTATACGTGTGATTCTCTGAGTCAGAGGCTTCGTCGAAATGGTAGACTTAGCCAGAGAGGCATTCAATACTAACAATTATATTCTTGCCTCCGAGATCTACTCCCGAACGATTCGGGATAGCGGTCCAACGCTGGAGTTGTATCTCGGGCAGGCAGATTCGCTGGCAAGAGCTGGAAAGCTTCGAGAAGCTGCCGAGGCTTACATAAATGCCTTTAGGTTAGGGACTGTGACTTCTGAACAATTGAAGCATCTCGCAACAGGCATGGTCACGCTATTTAGCAAACAGGAGGATTTTATTCCGAAGGCGAGGACGCGCAAATTTAAGGACATGTTTGAATGTGGAATATGCAAAGGAATTATGAATGATCCCGTCACAACGCCTTGTGGTCATAGTTTCTGTAGAAACTGCTTAGAAAGAGAACAGTCAAAAAAGTGCCGTACTTGTGGGGTAGTGCATTTTTACATGGTGGCCTCAGCCCTAAAGACGAACATTATTTTACACAAAACCGTCGAGAAATGGTTCCCTTCCCAAGTGCAATCTACTAAACTAAAGATGGAGGGAAACAAATTGTTTGAGGAAAGGAAGGTACAGGAAGCATTGGAATTATATTCTCAGGCATGTGATTTAGGTAAGGTTGATATTACGTTGTGAACGTCTGTTTTATGATATTTCTTACATTTATAGTGTCTTTGTAACAGCTTTGTATTCTTTTGATATGTCACGTTGCGAACCACGTTACGCATGCGGTAGTTGTGTAAGTTAGTATTAACACAATCAATGACGGCATTATTTACACTTTTTACTAAAATGATTTAACATCTACTCTGAAAAACTTGTGTTCTATCAAGATATAACCAAAATGACAGGCGTGTAATTCATCACGTTTTACATAACCCTTAGATAATCGAAGAAATGGATGACCTAGTTTTATAATATACGGGGGGCATAAAAACACTTGATCGAACAGCCAAAACAATAGTTCGGCTTAGGTCAGATTTCTCTGTTATTATACCTTTTTCAAAGTATAGATCTATTGCAATTGTTAATTTACATTGACGCATATTTATCATTTAAGACAAAAAATATTGATTTGAACTGTGATGATATTGTGCCTCCGGTCTCGAATTTTTAATTCATTTTACCATTAAAAAAAAAAAAAAAAAAAAAAAAAAAAATTAATGTTTGTCATAATTCTTACTTTAGATCTATATATTTACTTTGATTCTAACAGTTACTTATCACTGAAGATTGTATATTTAAATGATAAATATTGCCAATAAGTATTTCAGTATGAGATATAAAAACCAAATTAACAATGAAATTATATATGAATAGCAAATGTTAAAGATATAAACCTTAATTCTCTTCATAGCACCAGATGATCATTTACTGATGAGCAACATGTCTTATGCATACTGGGCCTTGGGAAAGTTTGACCAAGCTTTAACAAATGCTGATATGACAGTGAAATTAAAACCAGACTGGCCAAAGGTGAGTTTGTTTGAGGCATTTTGTCGTACAAACTTCTTGAAGTGATTATAACATAAATATCGTACTTACTTCTTCATTTTGTATCAAGAAGACAAAATTATACTGCTGATGTCTGTGTTATATTTGTATAAAAGTTTTGTGTATTTTAGATGTCTTGATAGCATTAGCAAGCTTTAATATGCTTTATGGAAACACAAAAGTTCAATCAGCACTTACCTTTTATGATATAGTGAACCAAATTTTCTTCCTTTTTACATGTTTCAAAAATATATCTTAAGTATTATTTGGGGGGAAATTTTAATATTTTTGTTTGATATGTTGTATAAACAAGTAAAAAATGAGACATTTTCAAGGTTAATTTTTGTCTTTCTTGAAGGGCCATTACAGGAAGGGGATGGCCTTGTTAGGACTGCATAGGCCAGAAGATGCTGTTCTTTCATTCTTGCTTTGTCTTTCTCTTGACCCTAGCATTCAGAGTGCTAGAACTGGACTGACAAAGGTATGTACATGGACTCTGGCAGTCCATCCTTGAAGGTTTCAGTTCATCAATCTAAATTTTTTTAAAATGGAAATAGACTTATATGATGTGTTAAGTTGACTGCTTAGAAATCTGAGCTCTCCTTAAAGTTTAAAGGAATAAAAAGAAAAAGCTGTGAAAATGTAAGAAAGAAACTGAATGGAGTTTGGTTTTTACACCACTAATATAAAGCATTATTTTTGATATATAAACAGGGTAGTGCATGATGATTCATAAGAAATAAATAAACTTATTTTCAGGCTCTTCACCAAATACTGTCACCCCTTCCTGCAGACCAGTTAAAACAGATGGATTTTCAGCAGTTGGCGCATTCGCATTCTCCCTCTGTTTTATCTTCTTTACTGGGTGGAACTGCCGCAGCTGGCGGACCTCTGGAGACATGGGAGACAGCTCTGCATTTGAAAGAGAAACTTGCCACAGAAATTGTGAGGCAAAATAAGCAAGCTGTTGAACCTGATCAGGTAAGGAAAAAATTGACATGTAATTAACGTAGTTATGTAATCTGCATGTTGGTTTTGGATTTATGTACAAACATATATTGTGCTATTTTGCTAGGAGAATTAGAATGTGGTACGATTTTTAATGTTTTAATGGTAAAATTGCACAGACATGAATATCATTTGTTTGTTTGTAGCTAGAAATGGAGGTTAACAGTGAGGAATTAACCAGCATTGAAGAAGGAAGGCCAGGAAGTAGGTTTGAATATTGTTGTGAAAGACTTTCAGTTAACTTGATTTAGTAAAAATTGCAAAACAATATTTTGAACTAATTTGATGGATTCTTCAAAAGTGCATAACATTATTCTTGCCACAACAAGTCACTACATATCCTCACAATCCTCTTAATGTTTTATACATATAACATACATTATAATATATAATATTGTATAATATGTCTATAATCTCTGTTTGCTGTATTTTTCAGGTCTGTCTTCTCCAGTCTCCCGCAGTCAGTCTCCCGTGACAATCATGAAGAAAGTGTCATCAACTTCTGACCTTTCTAGGAAGAGGACTCACGAAGCTGTGGCCTCTGGAAATGGCAGCCCAGTGGATAATAAACAAATTCGATGTAAGTCCTTATACCTCTTTGTTTAATGAAAATTCCATGTACAGTAAGAAGATTTGCTTGTATTTGAATCGTACAACTTGGGGAAAATGGAAAATTATTTTTTGAAAATTTTATAGCATTTTGTACTGTTTTCTGTTTAATTGCCGAAATAATATAAACCAGTGTTGTAGTCCAGACATTTAAGTTAATTCTTGTGATGACAAGAGTGACCTAAGCTATTGGAATATTGATCACTTCAGGCACATTAAACGATTATCCAATGGTTAACCCTCAAGTTGTGGACAAAGATGACTTTGAATGCAGTCTCTGCTTCAGGTACGTAAGGTGGAACTTTATGTACATAATTGTATTTCTTCTCTTTTTATTGCGAAACAGAATATTAAGTTGAGTTAGATCTAAAAGACAACAGTTTTGAGATCGTATTTTATTTTTGACCTTTGCATTGACAAAAAAGTACATAATATCTATAGTTTTATTTAGTAAATGCAATAATTATTGGAGTTATGTATGCGAAAAAAACTATCAATTACATAATTTTCATAGTGACAATTTGTAGAGTGAAGTGTTTAGAATCATACTCCATGTTATTAAAAGTACACTTCTTAACTAAGTGTGACAGTTGCTCAGTATGAGATAAGAGTGAACAGGGTTTTCCAGACACTGTTATACCCTATAACATTTTCATGGTTTCCATTTTTTTGCAGGTTGTTGTACGAGCCTGTAACAACCCCATGTGGCCATGTCTTCTGTCGCGGTTGCTTAGATCGTTGCTTAGATCACAACAATTCATGTCCTCTGTGTAAAACATCTCTGGTGGAGGTAGGTCATGATGCAGTTATTTTAGCTGCTAGTGCAAAGACACTGATAACAATTGTAAGATTGCAACCAAGACAATACAAATCAGAAACTATAGTAGTAAAGAAACCATTTTTTACAGCAATTGGAAATGTATTACCTGTAATCTACCAAAATTATCTACACAATAAATTAATGTGCCATGCAAATATGAATTTTTAGGAAATTTGATAAATATCTTACTGAGGTAATCTTTCTGGTTTTTCAGTATTTGGCAGAGAGAAGATGTAGTACTACAGAGTCTATTCTTAACATCTTGAAAGTTTATTTTCCTGAAGATTTTGAAGAAAGAAAAAGGATTCACGAGGAAGAATTAGAAGAATTGATAAGGTACATTAAATAGTATTTGGATTTATTTATAACAAAACATAAGGTTAACTAAGGAATGGTGAAGCCATGGTAAATGGCACAGTTTGTATTGCATTGATTTATTACACCAGATGAACCACGTGCAAGTTTGACATCCAACATATGTAATTAGAAGGTCATTAACTATAAGTCTTTTGCATTCATCTTATTGCTTAAGATAATTGGCAGGTTTCTTCATCCTCTAGTTGATTCCAAGTGCAATGGTCAGTGATAATTGGATAAAATGTCCCTGGAGGATCTGGTTTGATGAAAATTATTCTTTTTTTTTTTTAGGATGGGGAAGGAGAAACAAGAGATACCTCTTTTTATCTGCACTCTAGCATTTCCCACTGTTCGTTGCCCACTTCATATTTTTGAGCCTCGTTACCGTCTGATGATGCGTCAATGTATGGAATCAGGGACAAGGCAGTTTGGCATGTGTCTAGATTTAGAAGAGTAAGTAGAGGAATGGGGATGTCAAATAAATCTCATATTTGCTTCATTAATAAGTGCATGTAACACGTGAAGTAATTAGGAGTGTAGTTCAATGAGCTTCTGCTCTGGACAATTTCATGCTTACCATACAAAATCAGAAAACCAGTGATTAGTCTGAGAACAGTCTTTTAATTTAAAAAAAGCCTTCACATCTTATGTTTCTTCTATATGTTTGTTTAAGAAAAGGTAGATAAATGCTTGGAAACCTTGAGTTGGTCACTTGGCAAAGGGCTTTCCACTAAAAGAAGTAAAAGTGTGGTGTAATAACAACCTACATAGATTAAATCCAAATGGTCACATACAGGGAGCAAGTTACTAAGCTGTGCAATATCTTTGCAGGAAGATAGGGTGCATCCTTGAAATTAGAGATGTCCAGTTCTTCCCCGATGGCCGCTCTTGTGTGGATACCATAGGTGGACGGCGCTTTACCATTCAGTCCAGGGGGATGAAGGATGGGTACAATACGGCCAATGTTGAATACCTCAGTGATGTTCATTATGAAGGAGCTGAGTTAGCTGGTGAGAACCAAAATTCTCTTATTTGGATTTTCAGACTTAAAAGCAGGATTATAGCCTGAAATACCAGTTATCTTGTTGCCTTTTATCCCAAATTATATCCCTTGTTGCTGTAGATATTCTTGACAAAATTTCTTGTCAGGGTCATGTGTGGCATATTTACAGGAATGAAAAAACGTGCTAATGCAGGTCATTTATGACAGAGAATGTATTAAGTTTATAACTTATAAAAGAAAAAGATAAATATAAAAATAAAAAAAAACAAAATTATTTAAATAGAAGATAAAAAAATAAAAAATAAAACAAAACAAAATTATTTAAATAGAAGATGAATAAAAAAATAGAATAAAAACACAAAATTATTTTAAAAATTGCATGTAAATATATGATTCAATTGATTTTAAATATCATCATCTCTTCAGAGATCCAGCAGTTGTCAGATGAAGTGTATGACATGGCCAGTGAATGGTGGACCAATCTGCCGGGAACCCCTAGGAGTCAGATCTCGCATCACTTCGGTGCTCTCGGAGAGAAAGAACCAGTCACCCACTGGACGCCCAATGGACCAGCCTGGGTGTGGTGGCTGGTCGCCGTGCTGCCCCTTGAACCAAAGGTCCAGTTGACCATGCTTGGGCTGCTTTCGCTGAAGGAGAGACTCTTGTCCGTAAAGCGGGTGTTGAATTTCTTTAGAAGACCCAGTGCTCGATTAAGGAGACTCTAAAAATTGGGTTATTAATTCAGGTTGCCCTCATACTATGTCTCATAGGGTTAATATGACTGACTGATGTTTGACTGACCGCTGTTTAAGTTAAAACTTAAGTAAACAATTGATTTCTTTGGGTAAATATCATAATTGGGGAATGAAAGGTTGAATTTTAAGGGGGATTGTGACAGGAGTGAACTGGTGAATTAAAATGTTCGAGTGTTACTGTTAAGATAAATTACCACATAACTATTGTTATGTATTTCTTTGTGAAGGTTAATTACTGAGACCTCAAGGTTAGCTGTGCTCAGACTTAACTGAAGGCCCTGAAATGAATGTTTGGAATTCATTTTTATTTGGCTGTACAAGGCGACAGTAATGGTTTTAGTTAGGGCCAGTTGATATAATATCATTATAATAATATGTAACATTAATTTATCTTTTAACCTTTTTACCTCTTCTCATATAGTATTTATATATTAACCCTGTAAAAATAACAGCATAGATTATGGCTACAATTGTAACTCTTTTGCTATCTTGAAGAATTACATTGCTACTGTGTGGAAGTTGCAATTAGTATTTTATTACATGTATACAAGTGGACATTGAATATGTGGCAATATAAATAATCTACGTTTCTCATTTCAAAGTCTCAGCTACCAAGTGATTATTTTAATAATCATTAATTAAATTAAATAATTCAAATAAAATTAGAGGATGAATAAAGGAGAGAAACAAAACTGTACAAAGATGAACAGTCACACGGTTGTCACTATAGTATTATGCTTTTACTTTTCCTCAATGGAAATATAGAAAGACAGTGCTTCATGTTGAATAAGAAGTATATTTGTAAAATTATCATGTTATACATAGGTAGCCAAGTTCATAGATTGAGAAACATGATCACTTCTGTAATTGGTACATATATATCTCCAACATGTGGAGGCGAAGTTTAGTAGTCACCTTTGTCTGACACAACGCATTTTATATGTATAGGGAAGGTGGTCAAGGAATTCCACTGCACATTGGTACTACTGGTAACAATTTGTACTACTTATCAAGAAATTGTGAAGAATGAACTGATATTTTTATGGACAGAATTTATATTTGGTACTTTGCTTACGGTGAATGTATTGTGAGAAGGCAGTTGGCATAAAACCATTATATTTTCTAATTTCTGTTGAAGTGGAAAGATTTTTTGCAAGGAAGTTACAACGTATTTTAGATCTTGTACTAAATGTACTGAGGCATAGGACCCTTAGTTGACTTTAGAGTCAAATTACGAATGTCCATACGTTAACATTCTATTTTTATGTGGAGGTAAAAAATGATAACGATCAAAATTATGACAGTTTAACTGTATCATATCTGTTGCACTGCATGTATGGTATCACAAATTGTGACACATTTCTTACAATATCCAGCCTATTTTTAATTCTTAAGCAACTGTAATAATTTCCTGGATAAATAAAACAAATATAACAACATAAGCTGCTTTAAATTTTTTAGAACTTCTTGGTTTGTCATGAAAAGGTAGACTTAAAGAGCCCATATGTGACCAAACCAGATTTATTTCTTTGATGTTCATGTGGGTGATCCTAATACTAGTATCATTGCATTCCATTGTGTTCTAGTTACATGTCATAAATGGCATTCATTGTCCTAACTTCATCCATGGAGATAGTAAAAAGTACTTCCCTCTTTTCTTTTCTTAGTTCTGCATGTACCTTTCTTTATCATGCTAGAACAGTCATGTTGCAATAGAAGGTGCACAAAATTAGTTTCATGTATTAAAACCAGGTCTAGGTACTGCAGAAGGCAGTGGTGTCTTTTTCTTCTCTTCTTTTCCTTTTACAGTCTTGGTCCACCGGTCATATTTTTCCTCTTTGCCATCTTGATTGTAATGATAGCTGTATTGAGCAACATAATATTCGTCGTGCATTGCTTTCCTTTCCAGTTTTCTACGCATTTCCTTCCGTATAGTGTCCCCATCGAGGGACCATTTTCTTCTTTCATTATATTCGTCATTGTTGATCTCTGCAGCCTGCTGTGGCTTCAGAGATTTGTTAACTACAAACTCTCCATTTGACTTCAATTTTGCATGGTCAAAGTCACTAGGATCTTCAGGGAGACCATGAGGAAATCTCACTGGTACAACTTTTACAAGATGGTTTACCTTGCGCAATTCCACATTGATTCCAGGCGTGTTCTTATGAACTGTCAATTCATTCATCTGAAAAAATAATTAATATATCAACAATTTTTTTAATTGTAAAATGATGTTCCATAATTAAAATAAATCTCATTTTTGAAGAAATCACGCTTATTTTGGTGTTTCAGTCATGTCTTTAAACGGTTATTGCTACTTTGAATAAACATGTATAGAAAATAAACAAAACACATTTGTCTTGTGCAATGGATTTACAGGATACTTAAAAAAATTAAGGGAAATTAATTATGCTCTACACACATCTAGCAGTAAAGAAACGCCCTAGTTTTATTCCATAAAGCCAAAAATGACTGAAAAGGTGAATAGTTTGACCCTACCACAAGATGTTGTATCTCACTTACCTTTGTGTTCAATAACCCTAGTCTTTCTAAGGCTTGTTTTTCCCACCATGGGACTCCCTTCACAGGTCGAATTCTGCTCACAGCATGGAGGGGTGCAGGCTCAATTTCTGGTGGTGGTGGCCCATTCTAAAAGATTACACAATATACTGAAGCTGAATTGAAACCTTCAGCAATTAAACTGTGAGTACATCCTCCCAGTGATGTTGGTTTTGAGAGATTAAAATCAGATACATCAATATAAGCCTGACAGGCAGATTGAAAAATAGTTTTTCTTAAAGCACAACATGTGGCAGACTTTTAAAATGCTCATAAATACATGCAAATTTCAGTTCCACCTGGTTAAAATTTTTAGAAAATGAAAACATAAGATACATTTGTATGTGTACTACAGATTAAGGAAGATCATATGATCATATTAAAAAAAAGTCATTACTAGTACATAAAACAACTAAATGAACTATTTCATCTGAGAGAAACACACACACCTCAAGCATTTTCTGGTACTCCAGTAAAGGTTCAGCCCAAGTTTTGTCAGCATCTCTTTTCTTTTTCCAGTTCTGATATTCTCGAGCCCTGAAAAACTTTCTGGCGGATTTGTGTCTCATTTGCAACACAGTGGCACAAGTCCGAACCACCAAACAAGGCCGTTGTAGATCTTTCAGCTGCAATATAATAAAATAATAATGGCTAACCATGAACTTTATTTTTTAATCAGAATCAACAATACACAAGCCTTATATGAATGATGGACCACTATTAGTGTAGTAAATGGCTGCCCGGGTAACTTTTGACGCAGACGTGTTGCCGTTTAAAGTTGCCTCTCTGACAGGCAAAATTTAACTACAGTATTCACATATTCTTCTAAAAATAATTTTAAATTAGAATTTATGTATGATTCATACATAAAATCTGGCTGGGCGATGGGTTAAAGGTAGAATAAAGTGGGGCAGTCTGATGGGGGGGGGGGAGTTGCCCGCCCCATGATCAGGCTATTATTTCTGACGAATTTACTACACTGGCACTATGATGCTCTACATAAACAAAACAATTATTTTTATTTCCTCACTTACTAGTACTTCATTTCGCCATATTTGCAAAGGTTAACAAAGTAGTGCTTGAATACATTACAGGAGTGCTAACGTGATTTCGTGCTAATAAGTACTGGTATTCAGTGTCAGCCAGCGGGTGCTCCCCGTGACATTCCCTTCAAGTCTTCCTTGGATTTTTAAACAAAACTTACTCAGTTGTCCGGAATTATTCACATATATATTCATTAAGATAGATCCCAATATTTGCAATGTATTGTCGTTGATTGAAAACCCACTTATTTTAATGATTTTACAAACAACTCACCTTGTTCAACACGATGCCAGCCATTTTGGTTTTATCACAATATTTAAATTATAGTTTCGTATCTTAAAATAAAAAAGGATAAACTTATTCGCATAATCCATGAATATGTTTTGGTATTTACTTCACTATAATATAAATGAAAATCTCCAGTTTAATAAAAACAATACAAGTTGTTGTAAAATTACAACATTTATCTTGAAAAAAACTAATACCTAAATGGTTTCTAACTTTGAATGTCTTTTAATCTCAGGCGCTTCTTTCGAAGCATGGTTAAACCTATCCAGGTAAAAGATGCGACTAAATGCACAGATTTCAAGACAATCTAAAGCTATTATTTCTGACGAATTTACTACACTGGCACTATGATGCTCTACATAAACAAAACAATTATTTTTATTTCCTCACTTACTAGTACTTCATTTCGCCATATTTGCAAAGGTTAACAAAGTAGTGCTTGAATACATTACAGGAGTGCTAACGTGATTTCGTGCTAATAAGTACTGGTATTCAGTGTCAGCCAGCGGGTGCTCCCCGTGACATTCCCTTCAAGTCTTCCTTGGATTTTTAAACAAAACTTACTCAGTTGTCCGGAATTATTCACATATATATTCATTAAGATAGATCCCAATATTTGCAATGTATTGTCGTTGATTGAAAACCCACTTATTTTAATGATTTTACAAACAACTCACCTTGTTCAACACGATGCCAGCCATTTTGGTTTTATCACAATATTTAAATTATAGTTTCGTATCTTAAAATAAAAAAGGATAAACTTATTCGCATAATCCATGAATATGTTTTGGTATTTACTTCACTATAATATAAATGAAAATCTCCAGTTTAATAAAAACAATACAAGTTGTTGTAAAATTACAACATTTATCTTGAAAAAAACTAATACCTAAATGGTTTCTAACTTTGAATGTCTTTTAATCTCAGGCGCTTCTTTCGAAGCATGGTTAAACCTATCCAGGTAAAAGATGCGACTAAATGCACAGATTTCAAGACAATCTAAAGCTATTTTTCATTTTTCAAAAGGCTTTATGAGTCAAACTTTATTCATATTTGTTTGTTGGAGTCACTTAATCATGCTAGAGCGGAACAATAATTATGTTAGATGCTTGCATAGGTCATAGCAATATTACTAATTTATAAGCCTGGCAAAAGCACGAAATTAATGCATTAGTAAGTGCTACACTGCATTCAAACCATAATTTAAAGAATCAGTTTCAAGAGACTTTTGTAACTAGCCCTCAAGAATAAATTAGTTTGAAACTTGAAAAGCACTCGAGAAGCACTCCATAAAGGTAACTCAGTTTTCATACAGTGAATTAGTTAGCAATCAAATGATAGTTATAGAGTCAAGTAATATGTGTGATAACACACTGTAACTTGAGCGATATATGCCAGAACGAACACCTCAAACGAGAGTTGTTGTTCGAGCATATATGATATTGCAAGAGGGTGGTAGTATTTTATTTGACATATACACAGAGAAAAAGTATTTTAATTTCATGAAAAAATTCCCTCTAAAACTGAATAAGACATATGTCGTCATGGTCACATTTATAACATCTCTATAGGCATACTGGTCATTCTGTTATTGGTTATACGATAGTTGTCTGTTGCAGTGCGTGGGCGAAAATAGGCATATTAAAATGTGGAATAGATAATTATGCACTTCGTATCAGACCGAGTATATCTATGTTTAAGACTGTTCTAAGAAGGCAGAGTGGCAGAGGTTATGCTTGACAGGATGGATAGATGAGTGAGTTGTTGTTGTTGTTGTCAGCATTGCCATAGAATATTGCCAGAATTCCACCTCGCCATTTTCCTTAGGGTTACATCAATTTTTCAACACCTTGGTGTCATATTTGCTGGCTAGTCATGCTGTAGTCCATTAACCCCATTTTATTGATCAATCTGGCACAAATTTGTCTTTTAAAAAGGCTCTTTATTCTGATTACTTACCTTAACTAGGTGCATGTGTGCTTACTTAATGATATATGAAAGCTGATTCAATATAAAAATAGGCATATGATATTATGTAACTTATCGCACAGGCAAAATGACGTCTGGTGAGGTGCCTGACTGTAATGTCTCCACATAAAAAAAACCATTACAGATCAGATGAGTTACACTCAATCAGTGTATTGTAATAGAATTCCAGCATAGCAACTTTTTGAAGGGATCAATTCTGGAAGTTTTCTCACCCGAAAATTAAGTATCAAATCTGGTTTTATCAATGTACGTGTGTTTCTGGTTCTTACTTCAGATGAGATCTATACTAAAAAATGCATATATGGATGTGTTCTTAGCTTTTTTTTCTGCATTTCTCTTTAAACAAGTTGACTGGTATGTACATACCTTGCAGTAAATCATTTATTTAAAAAAAAATTGAACCTCTGAGAAGTACTTAAATATTTAAAGATAATGGGAATCTTAAAGGTAACATAATCTCCATGAACAGCTACTGTAATTAAAGCTCAATTATAATGATGATTCATAGCAGACATACAGGTACATGTAGATATTCCCTTAGAAGTAACAAACATCAAAGGTGTAGTCCCAAAATTGAAAATTGGTATCTATCAGTCTCATAATTAATTCTGTTAGTAGATTAATGGAGTCTCTTTTTTGTGTAATGAAAGTATCTTTTTAATATGATGATCCTGATTAAAGATGCGAGTTACACTTAACCTTGTACTAAATCAGTATTTCATAGAAGCAGTGGTGGATAGAGTATTTTGAAATAGGGAGTACCAAGTTCTTTTTCTTCCTGAGACAAAATCGGCTCCACATGCTCCAGTGATAAAAATCTGAAAATGGTGATTATTGAAATTGAAATAAGAAGTCTGTGTAGAAGACAGGTGGGCAGTTTCCTGGATAATGCCCTTCATAGAATAAAATCTAAGCCTGGCCGTTTGTAAATTCTAATAGTCAAAGAGGTAAAAAACCTCATAGCATGCAGATGTTGTCTTTGGTAAAAATATATTCTTTACCAGGTCCATGGTTTCAAAGCCATATTGTAATTGTAATAAATCTGAAAATATCAAGCAGATCGTGTAACAAGGGCACCTGTTAACTGAATATATTCTTTACCAGGTCCATGGTTTCAAAGCCATATTGTAATTGTAATAAGTCTGAAAATATCAAGCAGATCAATCATCATGTAACAAGGGCACCTGTTAACTAAATATATAAAGTCAACTATTAACTGGCCAAGCATTTTTACCTAGTATGTGACACTTGTAATATGACAACAGACAGAAAATAATTTTTAAACCTAGTTCTGTCAAAAGTAACCTTTGAAAATAAAAAAGGGTTTTCAAAGCTTTTATGCAGTAATTTCAATAAACCTGTGAGATGTATGCATTTTTACAAATGACCTTTAGTGAACAGTTATTTATGGCAACATTCATAAGTGATTGAACACATAAAGGATGTCCGGTGATGTTAAAAGCAAAGACTGGAAAATGCCAGAGACTGTGTGTACGTAGATGCCTGAAAGCACATCTAATTCCTTGATCCTGTGAAGCATACATTGCCTCAGAATAAGATATTAAGTAAGATGATAATTTATTGTAGTATTTATACAAGTACAAAATTAATATTAATGTGATCTGTTGAAATAAAATAATAGCTTTAATTGTGCTCATTAACAATTCATGTTGCTGTTGGTTAAAAACTGGTTTTGCTTCAAGTAGCTAAATTGTTCGTTATTTGTGGAATTATTATTTAAAAGTGATAGAAGGTTAGTTTTTTATGCTTAATGTGCTCGATAACTTGAAAGCATCTCAAATTGTGACTGCATGCCAACATGGCGATCTTGCGCTATTGCCCAACTCAAACTCATTGTGTGTCATTATCACCCCATTTCCATAGATTTTTAGATCGATCTATCCCTGTGGGGAGTCTCACTAGATTACTGTCAGCTTGGCCGGCTTAAGCATCTGTCCCGCCTACTAAAAGCTGTAAGGGGGTAATGAAATATGGTGTCCGCTCCGCTGACTGCAATTTAGCGTGAACCCCCAGGGAGTTAGGTCGATCTAAAACTTAATCTTTAGATCGATCTAAATCTCTGGGAAAGCACCCTATGAGACCAAGTACAACTCACCAGTGTATTAGTAGCAGGACTATCAGTTCAGAATAACATGCTTTCTTGTATGGTGACATAGTTGCAATGATAAACTATCTAACAACTTCAGTAAAATACAAATAATATCAGTATTTGTAATCATGATATTGATATAAATTAAAATAATATCTTGATAAGCTACATATTATTAATCAAATAGAATTACATGATGTGTAATTTTGCTATGACACCTTCACTTAACGCAGCAATCCCACTGTAGTTGAGTTCAAGGCAATAACTCGGCCTTGCAAATATTACATTGCCATTACAATGGGTTCAAGTTATCAGGGGGGGGTGCAATCACCATCGCAAATAGCGATCGATCACAATGTTTGAGTACAGTCAGAATTTGTGATACTTTAGAGTTATCTAGCCCAGGACAAATAACTGTTAGTATAATGGTAGGGTGGTGAAATTTGGTACATACACACTTATGCACACTTATGACATTTGTGAAGAACCAGTCAGTTTAGTCATTATACACTTATTTTTTTGTCCAATGCAATATCTGTTTTTACTCCCCAATCTTCATATATCCTGAAATGTAAAAATTTATCATGATGAAAGGGGCAAAATTATTATTGGAAATGTTCCCTCTGTGTACTCAGAACTCAAATGCTACGTACTTTAATTTACAATGACATTTCAGAAGATGTGCTTTATTTCATGACCAAAAAAGAAAAAAGAAAAAAACAGGAAACTGTTATTGAAACCATGGAATAGATATATTTAAAGCATTATAAGCCTTTTTTTTAAAAGGTCGCACTATTTTGTCCATCAAGTTTTTTTTTTTATTTTCCATATTTTTAGTTGTTTCCGTTCTAATAAGAATTGCATCTCTCTTGTTGCAGACATGGGAATTCTTGTGTGTTTTTCCAAGAATGACTTTTATGTACCAAGAACAATATCATGTCTTGCCATTTTACACACGCAAAGACATGTGCCTGCATTGGAAAAGATGTACCACAATCCATTACAGTATAATTGGTCCCATCAGTATGACGCACATGCCTAGAACCATGCATGGGTACATGCACACTTATGACATTAATTACGTAGCGGGCCAGACATAATTGTAATAGAAAAGAGAGAAAGACAGAGGCTGATGAAGAAAATCACGATAACTTTAATGTCGGAGTCAAATGATGATTTTTCTCTCAAACTCTGTGATAAAGCCATGAAAAGTTATAGCTAGTGTCTTTAATTTTAATTTTTTTTAATCCAGTACAAATTATCTTAAACATCTGGAAAAAACATTGGATATGCCACCCTGCAAGTCACTTATAGGGATTGAGAGATGGAGGGAAGCACTATGTAAACGTGTAATGAGCACCTTGATTGTAAAGTGTGTGTGTGTGTGTGTGTGTGTGAGAGAGAGAGAGAGAGATGAGAGAGAGAGAGAGAGAGAGAATGAGCACATTACTTGAATACACTTTCAAGTAATTATTTAAGAAATCAGAGTCCAAGAAGATAGGTGACTGTGAGACACCCAAAACTTGCACTGAAGTTAAAGATCACATCCTCTGCCTGACTATGACGGCCAAAGTCATTCTCTAAAAAGAAATGATGTATAAATGTTCTCTGTGATAATGCATTACCTTGCCATGATAATCCATTAGGGATGTATGCATGGACTCATTATCCTTAAGGATCAATACTTTCCATTTCCCAGGCAGTGTCAGGTGTAGGAGCCTGCAGAGACAAATGGGAGGGGATTATACTTGACGTTGATAATCTCACTGCCAACCATCAGCGAGATTACTCTATCAGAGAGCAAGAGCGTGCTGAGAGAGAGCGGTGTGATGCATTCTTGGTAATGGGAATCAGTGGTGGATTACCTGCAGCAGAAACCTCAGGAAAAATTCTTCTCCAAACCGCGGTACATGCTGTGCACCAGGTAGGTCCGGGGTAAAGTAGATGTCTGGACGTTGAAGGTGACAGTTGATGGGGAATATAAAAGTTATGAATATAGATGTGATACAGATAGTAATTGATCACAGGAAAAGTGCTTGTGTGGGAGTAAGTGGTGGAGTTTAATAGAATATAGTTGTCACTTTGCATTTTTATTTTTATTTCTTTTTTTGATATTTTTTATAAAATGTTTATAGAAAATTGAACAGATTCAGAATGGACACATCAATCTGTACATTTTGAAAACCATAATTGCAACATTTAATTTATACTCATTTTAAAATGAAAAAAGAATTGTTCTCTACTCATCTGACTGTAGAAAGTACCCTGAAACCTTGGTTACTATTTCACCAATATATTTTGATAATACAGCCATTTTACGGTGCCAGCTGCAAAACCACCATTTCTTTTTGTCTACGGCAACCTGTATGCTCATGCATAGCTCATAGTGTTGACCAAAGCGAAGCCCCGTTTTTATTACTTCCCACATTACCATTTTCTAAGTGATAATAGCATTGGAATCGAGCCCATGGATGTTGTCAATTAATCATGGTTTAATACCAGAGAAGAAAATAGATTATTATACAAGACTCTCAGGGGAAAACTGACCATCCGTGCTAAACAGGTTAATGGGACTTTTCAATGCTGACAGTTTTATAGAAATAAAAATATCCTTTTTAGGATGATTGTAACAAGTAAAATACCTTTCCACAAAATTCATAGTGTCTTCCTGAAGACCTTAATTGAAATATCTCTTCACTTCTTGTTAAAAGAGAAATGAAATTCAATGCGCTCATATTGGCATAGTAATATATATTTACAAATATTAATGCTGTTCTCTCAGCTGCATATGTAACTCTGTGTTTGCTCCTTTGTATAGAACCATGTAATATGTTAATAACATATTTATGACTTATATTCAATATGGTATTATCCCATGGGATTTTATAGCCTTTGAAACTGTCAGGGTCTTGTAATAACAGGCTTTGATATGTGGTGGCTTTGGTGGTTTTGTGGAGTATTATCTTTGAATATTCTTGTTTTGCAACAGAATAGTACTGAGTAAGATGTAATTGGAATGATTAATTTTCTAGCTGTTTCTGTTTCTGATTCAGATTGAAAGTGACAAAAATTAAACATGATGGATGCAGCACAAATTATTGATTCTTACAAATTGTTGATATCTTTTGCAATTCCCAACAAATTTGAAGTAATGTTTATACCATTGATTATATAGATTTAAACTTTAAACTGCAGTAAAAGCTTAACTCATGAATAAATTAGTTTTGATTGATCTATCAGTTCTCAAGTAGGAGGTTTTGTGTTAGGATGGAAACATCTGGAAATTGGAAGATAGAATTACTATGTTCCTTGGGTACTGATCGAGTCCTTGAATTAATTACACTGAAAAATAAATTCATCCAGGTAAAAATCTAAATGAGTAAATACAAAGCATCTTTAAAATAAAAATTAAAAATTAAAAAAAACAAAAAAAACAAAAAAGAACAAAAAAAAAAAAAAGTGGTTGGCATATATATTTTAAATCTACCATGAAAATTAATAATTGACATGCACTCTGCACTGGTTGTTGCTTTCTTACTTAAGTAAGGGTTTCCTTTGACTGTGCTCTGCTGATATAAGTTTGTTAAAAATAAGTTTCAAAATAAAATTTTATAATTTAAGATATTGAACTTTCATTTTTAATCCTAGAAGAAATGTCGATCAGTATTGCATTTAGCAAAATTCTAAGAATTTAAAGCTGTGATACAACTTAATTAAAATTAATACAATTTAAAGCTGTAAAAAAAAAAAAGAAATTGATTTTGTCTTTTATTCACACATTTTTGGAAAAGCAAATTTCAACCAGGAAAAAAAAAACTTTATGCAAATTTATCTATTCTGTGAACCACTGTTTTTCCCTTTAAAAAGAAGTGTCATGTACTAGAAAGGATTTCCTTTGTTCACGCGCAGATTTCCTGGTAAACATAATACCGGAAACTCATGAGACCTAAGGCCTGTTTCCATTAATCATAGGTCTTTCTAACTTGGTGCAAAATGTAATGATGACAATTGTTATCAAAGAGAAGACAATCAATGAAAATATTTTGCTATTCAAGCTCCCCAAAGGCACTGTAAATAAAGTTATAGCAAGGTTGGTTTTCTGGTTAGAGATTATGATCAGCTAGAAACCTTGCAGAGGTAGTGTGCACTAAGTTAGATCATTTCACCCCCAGTGGAAACAAACCTTTCCAGGCACCAGGAGTGACAGTTGAGGTAGCTTTAGTTCAGACTGGTATTGTGTGGTGGTCATGTCAGTGTAGTGTCTGAAAGAGAAGAAAGAATCCACCTCAAATGCATTCTACGTTGCCATTGCCCAGGATACAAAATTAGTATATATCTATATAAGCATGTAAATTGGATACGTTGAATGGTAGCGGTACACAATGAGCACAGTGTTAAGGTAGCCTATCGACTTATGCATCAAAATTACTAATGATTTCATAACATTGACATGTAGTGCATTATTTATTAAAAAGAACAATTGGACTTCTAATTTCTGCTGCAGCTCTAATTGGTCTTGTTATCAACATGATAAATGAAAGCATGTTATAGGAAAGCCTATTCTTCAGGATCCTTCCTGACATTTTTGATTTTTTCTTCAGGGATATTGCTTATAAAAAGTAAGGTCAAAATTACGCATTAGTAATTTTTCCCATTTATATTTTGCTGTCTATAATTTTTCCCACTGTCACATGTACATGCAGAAGTACAAATTTATGTCATCTCTTTTAATATAGTGCATCTCTTGTACCATTATGAGGGATCATGTTATTGTCTCAAGCGCTTTTCTCATTCAGTGGCACACTTTTGCTTCACATCATTTTCACATGTATTTAGTTACACTGCAGGGTTTTTTCTACTTTTACTCCATTTTACAGCTTGAATCACTCTCAACTGTTTGGACCAATTGAAATGAGAAAAGTTACACTGACAGTGTCATGTGGGCGGGCTCAGTTTAGATTACTGTCTTACATAATGGCAAGGTTATTAATCTGTCCAAAATGGTGCCAATATAGAAAGGTGCATCTACCTCAGTATTTTTCAAGTATGGTTAAAAAAAAAAAAGTGCCAGACTATATGTTTTGAGAGCAAGCATCAACGTTTTCTCCAGAATTTCCGGGAATTTTTGCCAGACCATGTGTTTGAATAAAGATATGCCATTAAGGTGAAACATTCCTTTTAGCAGCATTATTTCTTGCTACTTTGAAGCCAATTTTAGTTGAAAATTCCAAGAATATGCATAAGTGCTATTTTATGCATTAAAATGTAACAATTGAATGAAGGACAATGCTAAGCAGTGAAATGGACAAAGAAATGTATACTGAATGTAGTTTTAAATAGCAAAATTGTGTCAACAACCTTTTAGTGTTGGCAACATATTAATTTGTGGCATGAATTTGATGAAAGCAAATGTATTGCACCAAAGCCTGTCAATAAACAATATTGATTTAGTGTTTTCAACTATACTGGCTGTCAGAAAAAAGGGTCCAAAGAAAATTGTTTCATGTATCATGTGTGTATGTGTGTGATTATGATTGTGTTAGTGTAGTGTGTTCATCTCTTTCCGTTTGGCGAATGTATGTTTGTTTATCTATAAAATGCGCCCATTCTCATTTTCTGGCACATTTGCCCTCACAGGTGTGGTGCATACTGACTTGATTGGTTTGCTTTTTGTTATATACTGTATGTTATTTAAGAGTTAAGTTTCATTTTGTTATAAAGATAAGTATAATTTAGTTCTCTAGCTCATGATATTTAATCTCAAATGCTCTTCATTTCCTTTAATTAAGTCTAAGTTCATGTAATTTGTTGTGTTAGTTTCTTTATAATATCTAGACATGCATGCTCTCACACGTGTGTCGCATACTTACACACCTGGTGAATAAACAATAAGTTTATTTCAAACTAACATTCTTCAGTCATTCACCAGCACAGTTACAACTGTTACAATTATAATGTTGCTTATTTTGGCACCTCACTTCTCATTAGTGCACAGCAAAAAATCCTGTATTATTTATTGTACATATCCCCATTTCAGTTATTCAATTTGGCAAATTTGTCCCTTGTTCATTATATGTACTCACCAGCACTGATTGTCATGGAAATGCTAAAAAATGTATTACATGCCCAAAATAAACACTTTTCTTAGGATTAAAATTAGCAATAAAGTAGTTATTAATATAAAAAAATAAAATAAAATAAAATAATAATAATAATAAGTAAATGAAATAAGTCACCCATGAATGAAATTCAATTTGGCTGGGATCTTTGGTTCATACCTCTATGCACTTCCATCTAAAGAAAGGTATTGCATTCATCAATTATCTTCATCTTAAAAGTATTGGTTCTGCTTGCGAAAAATACTTGTCAGCAAGATTAGCTGTCAGTAAGATTAAACAGGGAGACTTAGACTGCATTCCAACAGATTTTAGATTGATCTATCCCCGTGGGGAGTCTCACTAGATTACTGTCAGCTTAGCTGGCTTAAATGCCTGTCCTGCCTACTAAAAGCTGTAAGGGGGTAATTAACTTCTGTGCGCACTTGGCTGACAGCAGTTTAGCGCAAACCCCCAGGGAGTTAGGTCGGTCCAGATGGATCATTCTAAATCTGTGGGAATGCAGCCATAGAGGGCATTCAGAACAAATTGATCCGCAGACTAAGAGATATCCACAGACTAAATATGGAGGACTCACTTAAAAGCAGCACCGACTAATCCCCTGATGGCATCCCCGCCTCCACACATGCCATTGCTGCAGGGACCTTGCTATTAAACCTCTGAGCCCAGTTTTAATCTGTTTAATGACACATGTGGAGGTGGGGAGTAAGGCCTCGACCGGTTGAATTGAGCAGAGATTTAATTACTGTTCCCCCTGCTGGGAGAACGCGTTGGGAGGCATGTGAGAGGCGGAGAGACCATTACAGGATTAAGCAGTCTTTCTTTCATGTAGGTCCACCATATTTAGGTCGTGGTCTAGCTAGCACTCGGCTATTCTCATTCTGAATGGCTTAAAAATAATTTTGCGAGTAGAAGGAGGGAGAAGATGAGGCAGGCAAAAAAGAGATGGGAGAAAAACATCACAGATTGGACCGGGTTGAATTTGAGCAGCATCCTTAGACAAGCATACAACAGATTGTCACAAAATCCTTATGTGGTGCCAACTCGTCAATATTTTAAATAGGGTAGGATGTGGAATAAACATTAATTTTTGATTGTTTATCATTGATTTGACTTATTTTAAAGATTTTGAGCTTATTTAAGGAAATTATTTAGTCCAGCAAAAGAAAAAATGGGGTGCCAGTTTAGTCTGACTTATATGTAACTGTTTTTGCCTGATAGGATATTCTTTTATTGGAGAAAAAAGTTAATCTGAATGTATGAGTTGGAACTAATAGTATCAGGAGTCACAAGGGAGTGATTTGTCAATGTCATTTTTTTTTCAGTCATTTGAGGCTGTTGAACTTCTATACTGTACATCCAGGGGACTTTAGGATAAAAAGGCAATATCCAAAACATATTTAAATAAGCCATGGATAGAATGTGATTAATAATTTAATCAAACTTTCTGTCATTTGATGTGGTTGATAAAATATGTAACAGGTACATCAAATGTCCAATATTTTAGTTTAAAACTGGTATTGTCCACACTGATGAATTGTTTTTATTGATCATACACTTAGTGTAGATGAAAGTGCAGCATTCAGGTACATGTAGAGGAGGTCACTGACAGACTTGTCATAATTGAACAATCATGTTACAGTGGCCACTGTAGATGAATGAACCCAAAATGTTCAAAATAGGATATTATTATTTGGACTGGGTTCCCATGCTTAGATCGATCCATCTGGATCAGTCTAACTCCCTGGGGAGTCTCACTAAATTGCTATCAACGTTACCGGCTTAAAGGTCTGTCACGCCTACCAAATCAGTTAGGGTAAAGATAATTACCCCCTAACAGCTTTACTAGGCATGACAGCCGGTTAAGTTGATAGCAATTTAGTGAGACTCCCCAGGGAGATAGATCGATCCAAATATTTGTGGGAATGGTCAATATGATACCTCTTGTATGTAGCTCTCTCTCTCTGGTCAGTAACAATGCCCTTTTCTGAATAGTATGACTGTGTTTTACTTTCATCATTCACTTTGCTTTACCATTCATTATTGAGTACCCTCTTTTCAATCAAAAAAGATAAATAAATAAATAAAAGGTCAAAGGAAGTATCCAGGTGTATTTATGAGTTCTCGTGGAAAATAGACTTTATTATTAGAATAATATCTATATCAAAAGGTAAGCTAGAGTAATTACATTAAACTAGTAATTTAAGCTACAGAGTAAGGGATTCACCCACCAAAATGAATGAGATTTTGTTAAGTATGGCGGACACCACAGTTTTTTCCCCCAGAGAATTTGCCAAACATTTCATTTCTTTCACGTGGCCAACTTAGGTTCCAGTGCAGCAAAGCATTCCCTGTAGCTGACTGTTAATCAGTATTGATATTTTATATTAATTTATGTATTCCGGCCAAAGATGTCACATGTGCCTATAGCACCCCCGTCAACATAATGTGAAGTAATTGATTATTTCTGTCCATATCCACACTCTTGATTTGTTGCGTATTAATCCCGTCATTGGTTGTTGCAGAAACGTGGGGGAAATTTGCCCGTCATCCGGCTGTTGCTGATCTGACCCGCTCCAGCACTAAAACTGTGGTGGTGATGGTGACGCCATTGTCAAAGAATATGGACACCAGAATTAAGAACAGAAAGGTTGCTGTTTGAGGAGAAATTATCAGGTAGGGAATTAATGGTTAATATGTGTTATTCCATAGCTGGAATAATTTTTCATTCATGCACTAGTAGATAGGTTGACTGCCTTCTATGGATATCACAGGAAGGTGGTACACACTGTAGAATGTTATCATCCTGTGTACAGTATACTGACGGTGAATAATATATATATATATATATATATATGTGGTTTACTAGGATCATATATGGGCTCTGGTCCCATATCACAAAGTACATGTTTCTACAGTTGTATAACTAGGAATCTTAGCCAGTTATGTTGTATTGTGTGGCATGCCCCCTCACAAAGCAACATGAACAACATCATGGATAACAAAGTTTTCCCTGACTTTACCCAGGTACTTTAAGTTACGAGGGGGTGTGTCAGACATTTAAGCTGATTACATTGACTGGGCCTTATTGCTAGTACAATAACTTCTATTCTGAACACAGCCATAGCCAGCTATGTTGTGTTTCAACAAAATCTCCATGCATAGAGAATCATAACCTTTTTGTTTGGTCTTATATACTATAGTTTCTTCTACCTCACCATGCCAGTTGTCTCGGTGTAGCAGGCTTTTTAAAGCACACTGATTCAATTTTTTTCTCCAAGAATTTTTTCCCTTAGAAATTTTTTTCTCTACTGTAATTACTATCCATTTGGTAAATTTAAGCTGTGGACCAGTTAGAACTGGGATTTTTAATTCATTTTGAATGGGCCTTAATTGTGCTTCAGACTTCTTTAAACCAGGTGTAACAACAAGTCTTGGTGCCATACTTTCTCAAGTAATTATAGCTTCTAACCACTGGGAGACAATCTAATCTCTTGTTTAACTAACCAACTGTTGTGGTCTAATTAGGCTTCATGCTGTTCCCAGTAGGTTGGTTGGTTGGACTGCATTCCCAACCAGTTGATCCTCGGATTAACTAGTCCGCAGATCAAATATGGTATGCACTTGAAAATGGATCCTTGCCTCCTACGCTTGCCGTCCCAGCACGGGCAGAGCAATTAAATAAAGAGCAAATAAGTAAATCTTGGTGTGCTGGCATATTTGATCCTCAGACTAGTTAGTCCACGGATCAACTGGTTGTATATGTGGCCTAACATTGTATGAGCAGTTACAGTTAGAATGTATGTGCCTCTAGATTAGAATGCAGTGAAGTTGCCAACTTATTTCAATAGACTTTTTCAATTTCAGGCTTTATTTTTTATCCATACTCTTTACATACTTGCTAAGCCAGATTTATACTGTAGATGAATGCAGTAGCTCTTAACGATGCCATCTTTAAAAGCACTTGGACTTTTATCGGATCACAGGACCAGTAGTCATAATCCAGGATAAAAAGAGCTGTACTAAGGCTAGACAATGTATTAATGACTCTGAATCATCTTTAATTCATAAGCCTTTCAGGGGTTGCTATTATTTTTCTTTAGCAGTTCACTTTATCGTTCTAGTCGTGGAGCTAATCAACGTCTTTTTATGTGTTTCTGTGTTTATTTCTACAGTAATTACTCATGTGTTTCAAACATTTCATTTATTTAGTTTTCAAGACTTCACATTTCAGTTGACTCATATAAACGCACTCTAGGCTCTGAGTGAAACTTGTTTCCTAGAACTTTTGAACAATCTTTTTCATATATTTCTAAGAAAACATTATCCTAAAATATGTAATTTCTTTTTTGATTTTAGGAGTAAAAACAGTATCGTGTGATTTCTCTGTGGTTGGTCTACAAGCGCTTCTACCATGGTGTTGTCGTATATACATGTAAGAGCTAGTGTTCTGTTTCTTTGAATTCCTGTAACCTAAATGCACATCACAAAATTGATTGAATGACTTAAAACTTGCTATTTTGATGGATTTCATAATCTTTTACACAACTTTAACTTTATTTCTCTTATTATAACAGATTTATGTGCCTTTGATAACCATATATATATATATATATATATATATATATATATACAACAAACTATTCTGCAATCTTTCATTTTTCAATTCTTATCTATTTGTTGCCTTTCTTTAAATTGCTATGGATTTATGATAATTTGATGAATTGGACAAAACTGACAATTTCCTTATTTTTATTAGAATTCATGTTTTTTTTTTTTTTTTTTCTACAAAACTGAATGTCAGTCTGAAATAATATTTAGTTGCCTTTCCAGATTATTGGTACTTTAAAATTACCAATGATTTGCCATTAATAGTATTGCACTTTAATGAAGGATTATTGGCTAAATTATTTACATTCTCAGTAGGAGTTAAAGTTTATTGACATAAACATGATGATATCTGTCAGAGTTCAAAAGTAATAATAGATCACTTTTTACATACAGATCCCTATCCAGTCAATTTTCAGGAGTTGCAAAGGAGAGTGGCTTGGTGTGAAAAATGGCTGATTTTCAAAATTAAGTCAATAAATGAAATAAATTTTAAGACTATTTAAGAAAGCTAATGAATGACTTAACTGAATTCAATTAAAACAAGATTGTTCAAATGTAGTTGATGAAGAAAACCTTGATAATGAAAAATCCCCCTTCCCCAAAAAATAATTGTGCCAAATCTGTAATTATGAGGAGATTGAAGTAACTGTTATAATTCTAATCCAAGTAAATTGTTCTTCTTAGTTCTTGAAGATAACTTTACATAACCTGTAAAACCTTTGATGATGGGGATGATAACAGTAGAATTTTGAACATTGTAGTGAATTGCGTTAGTTGTGCTATGAAGATTCAGTGACTGTTGCCCATTGCATTTGTTGAATTGTGAAGATTGTTGTAGCTGTATGTAATGCAGCAGCTGTTCTAAGTGCCATAGTTTTACAACACATGTTGCAGGGCATTTATGATGTCACTCTGGCATGATTTTTATTAGTGACAGGATTAATTTTTACTAGAAAAATTAAAAATAGGCCCGTCAATCAAACCTTTGTTAATTTTCTGGGTAGAATAACGTTACCAGTGTGTGCATTGTGCTAGTAGTGTTTGTACGTTGCAGCAGTTGTACTTAAGGACTGATAAATGAGGTGACAATAATCTGTAAATCTTTGTAAAAGGTGGTTCCTTGCCTTGTATACCATGATAAAACAGTAAAACCAGTATTAGGGTGTAGTAGTACATGATGATAATACTGATATGTGACTGAGATTGCCAAGTACATTAAACAATGCCAAAATGCATTCCGCCTAAACTTAATTTTTCTCGATGAAAAATTAATTTTCTCCTAGGCATGAATCGCTGATAATCAGAATCCTTATGCAGTTCATTGATCTTAGTTTCAGATCAAAACCTCACAATAATAATGATGATATATTTCTTGAGTGGAAAAGACTGAAATGATCAAAGCATGACGAAATTGACTTGTTTGATGATCAATTTTGACATGTATTAATACCATGTCCTGCAGTACTTTTAATCTCTTTGAAAGACTGGATTGATTATAGCATATACTACCACTTGATGAATAAAATAGCAATTTATACTGCATTCACTGCAGTTAACTTCGTAAAGCTTGCTCTTAGGTGATATGTAGCTGGCACTTTTGTCTATGCATGCTTTCATAGAATTATTGTCCCAATCAGCTATTTGTGATTGAATTTGTCATGTGTGATAGGTGTGTAATAAACCTGCACATTGCTTACCTATTGTTTTTACACCTTTGTGTATTGGGTAATGTGGTTTGACTTAATTGCACCAAAGGTAGTCTCGAGTCGTGACAAGCTGCGGAAAGTATTGATTTATAAACCTGATGTGATGAGGAAAACTGTAGACTCTTCCTTGTGTCGTCAATTCTATAGAGACGGACAGTCCCAACCTCTCAGAGGCGCCTTGCATAGTTTTGTTTTGGGTAAGTGTCTTAAAAATCCTGAACAAGGGGCCAGTGAAATAGGATAAGTTTGTGTCACATGATAAAGGTCATGTAGATATATTTGAGCACATTATTTTTGATTAAAAGAAATGATATAGGGGCCAAATTCTTAGTACCCAGTAGTATATCTTTTGTTTTAGGCTTATATAAAAATTGATGTTTTGGTATTAAATTGCAAAGAAATGTCACCATAGATTCTATGTCATGTATTTTTAAAAATCCTAATTCAAGTGAGTTTCAATTAAGTACTTATTTTAATTTTATGCAAGAAACATTATGTATGGTGAACATGTCACTGTATAACATGGTTAAACCTAATCAGAGATTTATTGTACAGCATCCTTGAAAGTGAGTTATTTGTGCGTCAGACTTGTAGTCATTAAAGCCAGACATACTTTGTTTAATGAACAGTTAATGTGGGATGGAAGTCTTCTTCTCTTCCTGTTTTTTTCTTTTTGTTCAGTTTGATTTTCTTTACCTGATTGGAAGCCATTGGTTATTGTGTAGGTAGGTTTAGAGGCAATTTACAATACTGAACTTTCTTTTACATTTTTTCTTACAAATGCTAATGGTGTCTGTCTGTTTTAATTGTTTTTGGTGAGATAAAAATTATTAACTATCCTCATTGTATTTTCAAATTGAAAAAAAATATATTATCTCGCTTTCCAGTTTTATACAAAATACTCTTGTATGCTGTTATATTGAAATACACCTTGAAAAACCGTTTTTGGGTAAAGAGTTTAGATGGTATTTTTATAGAGCAAAGAGGACTTTATCTACATCTGTTTTTGATATATTTTTGAAGAAAAAAAGTATATTTTGTGTTTAGGCACTTTTTCATAGACTGAAGATCTTAGAAAAAAGAGTTTTTTTAAAAATGATCTTAAATGTTTGAAAATAATAATGGTTGATAAAGAACGCTTCCTCTTGTCTGAGACAAGTGAAATTGCATGGTTTCTCCATCTGTAAAAATATCCCTTAGTAGGAACTGCCAATTGTTGTGTAATCAATGAACTTATTGACTCCAAAACCGGTTCCCAATCTGTTTTCCATGCACAGAATCTCTGTGATAGGTAAGAACTTTGTATTGATCATCCATCTTCCCTTAATGCAATACACCTTGTAGGTCTTCATGAGAATT